CAAGCAGCACTGCGGCCGTGACTCACTTTACTGGCCCATCCCATGCTCGAGGACTAGAAAGCTAGGCAAAAACACAAAACACGGGTTTGCTTCTTGGTCTTCCTTCATCCCTGGCCTTTGTCTGAATTCTGCCTTGAGCTGCCACGGATTCTTGTATGTGACCCACACCCAGCGTTGAAGCCCCTGGCATTGCCACAGTCCACGTGACTGACCACGGCGAGTGTGGACGGCTCTCAGTGTCAGCCCGCACAGGTTTCTAAGTATAGACCCCAGGCAGCCCCGTGGCTGCTGGTAAGTCCCAGGATACCATTTGATACCCAGCCTGGCCTGTGACACCAGCCGCTGTCAGCTGCTGAGGGGCCGGGGCTGAGGTGTTTGGCCCAGCCCATCCCCGCCTTCTGCTATAGAGAACAGAACCAGCAGCTTAAGGATCACAGACCAAGAGCGGCCTCCGTGCTCAACGGACCCTGCTCTCTAATCTTTAGCAGAAAGAATAACTTAATGTCACCTACTGGAGAACATAAATCGTGGCCTGAGGGAAGGGGCAGTGTCAGGGAGCCCGTGTTCCCTGCAGCTCTTGCTCTGTCCCGTGTTCTCGCTGCCCGACTTCCATGCTCACGTGTCAACCCGAGACTTGTTGGAGCCAGGACTTGGCATCTCCCACTGTGGGCTGGGCAGTCCTGTCTTCCCTTCTTGGTTCTAGTTCATATCTTCTTTAGACAGAAGCTGGGGTGGGGCGGGCAGTAATTCTCAAAGCAGTATGGACTCTTGGCCTTCATCCCTTCTCCAGAACTCCAGGGTGTGAGCCTTTGGCTCTGAGATGGCCTGGCATCTTCCATGTGCCTCCGGGCAGGTGGGAGGCCCTCCTGGGCCCTTGGGGCCTCTCAGACCCGAGAGAGTTTCTGAGCGGCTTCACCTACCAGGTCATCCGTGGGCCTGTGAGGTCACCTTCAGCAGGTGATTCCCTAATTTGCTTTCAGTTTAGAGATTAACCAGAAAAGTTGTACATAAATTACTCTGGTCTGAAATAATTTCCTAACTCAGACTTGGCTGTGCCTCTCGCTGTGGGTGGGTGAATCACATCCCCGTGTGAGGTTTGGGGGTGCTGAGTTGCTTAGGGGCGTTGCTTGAGTCACGATAGGAGGAGGTACCAGGGCCACTCCAGGGGTGGCACAGCCACTAACCCAGCCTACCTGTTGTCCAGCTGGAGGCCCAGGTGAGGGCTGGGGGATGCGTTTTCTTCATATACTGGTTCCAGCATGCCAGCCTCCTGCACGGTCCCCTCTTGATTGAATTAACTTTGGGTCCAAAGTCACTTGTAGTAGTTGGAAGGCTGGGCACTTCATTACTGTGGTGGGGTCCCAGAGCCAGGGTAGGCGCCTCTCTGAGGAGGCCTGGCCACCCAGTGACGTGTTCCTAGGGTGCCTGCTGCCGGGCCACTGTCCCTCCCCGTTTACCTACAGGAATAAAGCTGTAGAAGACGCCACAGATCAGACAGTCCTTCAGAAGACATCAGATTCCTCATACCGGGGCTCTGTGCCGGGGCCTGGGGACGCCGTGTAACCCGTGGATGTGAATGTTTGATCTGCACAGATTTGCGTTAGCTGCCGCCATGTAACAATCAGCCATTTTAAAAATAAAAACTCAGATATCTTTCTAAGAAGAAGATCTGGCGCCTCTCCCACAGCCTCCCCTCACAGCCCAGTGCTGAGTGAAGGCAGAGGGCGGGTTTCCGATTAGCATCGCCCTTGCTGCTGTTGGATTGCTTGATGTCCAGTAAAGAGGCAAGAGAAGTGTTTCTAGTCCTTGTGTCTCCATCAAAATGTAGATCAAGGGGGCCACATCCCCACTGGGCTCATTTCCTCCCTGAGCGAGCCTGGCCCTGAGGCCGTGCGTTTGAGAACATTACTCTACCAGCTAACCTGCTGTCTGGTGGAGAGCTTCACTGACTGCAGCTCTTAGGTAGAATGGGGTGGTCCCTCCCTCCAGTTCAGTGCTCCAGCCCTGCTGGGAGGAGGGATTAGAGAAGAAATAGTCAGAAATAATGCCGACAATGGTGTGCTGAGCACTCTCATTTCATGCATGTGTGTGCGTAGTTCCCTCCTCAGGGAGCGATGCTTGTCCTGGGAGAGGCTGGGGCAGCTCCAGTTTCAGTGGGACCCTGGATTGGCTCTTTTGTCCCCGTACCCCCTTCTGCCCCCTGATTTTGCCTTGCTAACCCCTGGTTTGAATTGGAGCATAAAGAGGGGGAAAAGGAGGCGAGGAGAGCAGCCCCTGCTGCCGTATTCCCGTGGAGTGGACTCGTCTCTGAAGCCTCAGGGCAGTGAGAGTCACTGCTAATTTGAAGGTAGAAGGGAATACTTTTTTCATGCATCTTTTTAAAGGAATAGATTTGAATGTACTCTCTCTTTTTTAAAGGGTTACTTCACTTGCTGAAGAACAAAGAATTTTCATTTTACAGTGGTTTTTTTTTTTCAGAAAGTAGGAAGAAATTAATTCCTTTAAGGTAGCTGCTGCGTCCCAAGGCTTTGCCAGGTTAACAGGCGACTGCGGAGAATGACTGGAGGAACTTTGGGATCTGGCACTCCCGAGTTTCAGTTCTGACCTGGCCCCTTACGAAGTTGCCCTGTGTGACGTCTCTGAGCCTCAGGAAAGTGGGCTTCCAGCATCTCCTTGCTGAATTGCTTTGAGTGGAGATAGTATACAAGACGCTGGGTATATTGTTCTGGCCAATGGTTTGTAATAATAATTGTAGTTATGGTGTTTGAGAAACTGAAACTTGGTGTGGGTGGGGAGGAGAGGAATATAAGGAAGGAAAAACAAAATCCCTATTTGCATTAGGGTTAGATTGGGGATTGGGTTTCTAGGCTTGTCCTGGTTGTGGTTGACATCCCCCCTCCCAACTCGAGCAGATACAGGAGTGCGCTTTTCCGCAGAACTGCTGAGTCATCACAGCGTTGGGAAAATGCACGTGTGTGTGTGTGTGTGTGTGTGTGTGTGTGTGTGTGTGTGTGTGGAGAGAGTGCAGGCACTGATACTGGGGAAAGGTGGAGGATGGTTTCGTGCAGTTGTGTAAAGGTCAATGTCACTTCCATTTGTTCTTGCCCTGACAATATTGCCACATTGCTTTTCATAGTAAAATAAGGGGGAAAGATGTCAAAATTGCATTTCGATGAAGAGTGTTGCTGAGGGCAACGAAGGAAGACGCGTTGATTGAACAACAGATCCTGCCCCAAGACCACTATCTAATCAGCCTCCCCTCTGTGCTGTTCTCATCTGCTGTTTCCTGTGACGCCCCAGTTTTATCATCTGGAGGGATTTCTGGCAACCAAGGGTTTATCCAACAGATGATGAGCTTCTTGTATTTTTACGTGTCTGTTTATTTCTAATTTTTGGTGTGAATCATTCTAAACAGTCATGAGATTCTTGTCCGCAACCTTGGAGATTGAAGAACATTCAGACCAGACACAAAGATGGGGAAGGGAGGTCCATGGCCTGGCACCAGGGGCCACACACGGGCCTCTGCTGTGTTCCCGCACTCAGGCACCCCAAAGCCCCAGAAGCATCACCCTCGTGACTCACAGCCAGTATCTTCATCAGGTTCAGTTTTGACACTCGAGGCTAAGATTTACAGCAGCGCAGATTGACTGACAATATTACGCTTTTAAAATAGACACAGCTTCCCGAAATCAATAAAGATCAGCTTAGATTCTCAAGGACTGCGAGCTTTATATGAATCATTGGATGTGGGTTGTCTGGCCTTCCCTGATACAGAAAATCTGGGATATATAGAAAGGGGCCAAGGAAAAAGACAAAAGACCCCCATCTCCCTGCTGGTCTGGTAGCCCTTTGAGCTTTCTCTCTGCTTGGCCGTATCTTACTGCATTGCAATGACTTGTTTTCATGTCAGTCATCCCACAAGCCACCTGAGGCCAGGGCCGTGTCCCATTGTTCTGTGTCTGCTCCAGGCTTGGTATCGCAGGTGGCTCAAAGTACATAATCAGAGTTGGAGGGTGAAGCCTCTCCTTGATGAGAGGAAAGAACACAAGCTTCGAAGTTGGTCAGGCCTTGGTTCAAATATTCGCTCTTTGTCTTAGTTTTCTGTTGCTGCTAACAAATTCCCGCAAACTTAGCAGCTTAAAACCTCCCCCATTTATGAGCTCACGGTGCTGTAGGAGGATGGCTGGATGGAGGAGGCCAAGTGGGTGCGGCCAGCTTCCCTGCCTAGGGCCTCACCAGGCTGAAGTCCAGGGGTCAGCCGGGCTGGCCTCGTACGTGGAAGTTGGGGGGAGAAGCCACGTCCAAATGCATTCAGTTCCTGGTGGCCGTAGGTCTGAGGTTCCCTTCTCCTTGCTGGTCAGCCGGGGCCACCCTCTCTTCTAGAGGCCACCTGCGTTCCTGCTCTTGTGGCCACTCCGTCTTCAGAGGCCACATGGAAACCAAATTTTCATGCTTTGTGTCACTCACTTCTTGAAACCTGGGAAGGTTTTGACTGAGCATTAAGTAAGGCGAGGGAGTAAGGGCCTAGAGAGCACTGGGCAGGGTTCATTCTTTTCAATCCTTCTCTTATTAAGCCTATTTTATTTGAAATCTAATCTGATTCAGATACAGCAAAATTGTAAAGGGCCATCTTTATCTGAAGTACTTGTCATTCTAAAAAGTTGTCATGATTCATCATTTTTCTGTGCAGAGGAATAAAAAGAAACCAGAGGGGCAGCATGCCCTCATCAAAACTTTCGTGGTTTTTTTCTTCCTTCCCCGCCCCCAACCTCAAAGCTTTGGCATCTTCACTTCAGCTGCTGTCTCTGGGAGTGCTGGGGGTGGGGACGAGGGCCAGGCTCTGTGTTCTCAGACAAGTGGTGGCTTCTGCTTGGAGGCTGGCCGCCAGCAGCTGGCCCCTGCCACTCAGCGGGGAGGGCGGCCGGGCCGGGCAGGAGGAGGATGACGAGGGCGCCAGGCCTGCCTGCTCACCCGGCTCTGCCTGTGCTGTACCTCCCTAGGAGATCCTCGGCGAGCTCACCCTGGACGCCCTGCTGGACATGAATGAGGCCAAGGTGAAGGAGGCGCTGCGGCGCTGCGGGGCCAGTGCCAAGGACTGCGGCCGCCTGCAGTACGGCCTCGCCTGCCTGCGCAAGGGTAAGTCGGGCCTACCCCCAGCTCCACCGCAAGCCCCATGGCTCCCTCTGCCTCCCCCAGCTCCCCACCACCACCAGCCTTCTCTTCCCAGGCCGGGCCTGGTTCCTCTGGGGCCAGGACCTTTGCTGAGTTGGATGGGAGGGTGGGGCACATGTGAGCCGGGGTTCCTGGGCCAGCTGGTGGCCGTTCAGAAAGCATGTGATGGGCCTGACCCAGGACAGCGGCTCTCCCTGAGACAGAGGGCTCGGATCCCCACTGATCTGGCCATCCGATCCATCAATCTCAGGGAAGCTTCAGCCATTGTTAGAAACCCCAGGCTGGTCTGCTGGGCGGGCCCTGCATGATTCCCCCTCTATGGGGCTCTGGGAACCCTCCAGCAGCTTTCTGCATTCCAGACCCCCATCCTACTCCAGCTCAGCCCCAGCCCTCTCATGCTTTCCCCCCACCCCCATCGGCTGGCTGGGCTGTGTGCTCAGAAGGCACACGCTGATGTGAGCCTAGCCTAAGCCAAGCGAGAGTAGGGAAGTCTCAGCCAGGAGCATGTACATGGCCGCCCCAGGCAAAGTGTGGAACCCTGGCACTATGGTGAGTTCCTCAGGAATTACTTGCAGGCTTTCTAAATCTTACCTTGGAAACAGCCTCAAATGCTCTGACTTAATGCTCCCACTGCCACACATAAGGCTTTAAAATGAGCCTAATGAATGGGAATTAGCTCCATTTTTTAATTGTCTGAGCCACCTGTCTTATCTCTGCTGCCTGAGGCTGAGGGCAGGCACTGAGGTTTATATTCTGCTTGATTTTTTTCCCCCAGAGATGATTGGGCTTAATTTCTTGCCTGGCCCCATTATACCAAGTTCTCCTCTGCATATAGAGCCCAGTATAGAAAGCATCACTCAGTTCAGAAAACCTCGACATGCCAGGCCTCTGGCAAGTGCGAGGGAGTAAACGTGACAGAGACGTGGCTAGCATTCCTGTCCCCACGTCTTATGCAGGAGGAGACTGAGCCCAGAGAGGGGAAGGGGATTAGCCAGAGACACACAGCAGTCAGTGGCAGAGCCGGCATTCAAGCCTCTGTCGTTCATGGTGGTCAGGTTGTTCCCACGTTGCAGAAGTTTAAAAGTACTTACCATCCAAGCTGGGATCCTGGGGTAACTTGTCAGCCCTCCCTCTTTATGCCTGGATTATAGAGAATTGTGGAGAAGCCAGATGTAGAGTGGTAGGGACCTGCTTGTATTAGGAAGGCTGCTGTCTGCCTGTCCTGGACGCAGAGATTATGAGATCACTAATTTATTAAGCACCTATTGTGTGCCAGGCACTTGATACACATATGGCTACATCGTTCTAAGAGGTGGGGCTGAGCTCCGTTTGTAGCTAAGGCATCTGAGCATCAGAGGCGTCGGGTGCGTTGTCTAATGTTCTACACCTGGCACGCAGCAGAGCTGGGCTTGAACTCAGGTTCCATCCTCAGAGGGTGCTTTTTCCACTATGCCCCGGGGGAGGACCCTGGGGAGAAGTCTTTTCCAGTCTTTCTCTCTCATTTGCTCTCAGCGTGTAGTGCCCCTCCAACCCCAAGAGGGTCTTGATACACCCTAGCTGAGGATGCCAGCAGACAGATGGGTCTGCCCAGGGATGGCCACAATTCAAGAGCACCTGCCGGGGACCAGGTGGGCACCAGCGATCGCCGTCTCTCAAGTCATGTGGTCCCAGTCTTCGCTGCACCTGACAGGGCTTGAGGAGAGCAATCTAATTGTGATAAAGGTGGACTGTGGAACCAGACTGCCTGGGCCCAGCACTCTGCTTGGCCACTTAGAACCCATGGGACTTTGGCCAGTTACTTATTAACCTTGCTGTGCCTCAGTTTCCTTATCTGTAAAATGAAGGTAATAACTCATAGGGTCGTTGCAAGGATTAAATGAGTTAAGGTCAAGTGCTTAGACCAGAGCCTGGCACATATTAGGGGCTCTTTTCAATATTAGGCCTGTGGGGTAATGGAAAATGTTGACATCATTTCCCTTGTGGTCTCTGGTCTTGAGAAAGGTGATGAAGAATGGTTCTCTGTGCCAGTGGCTGGTGAACAGGGGAAGATAAGCCTGCAGATACTTCCTGTCCTTCATCCATAGCAGGCATCGCTAATCAATCCCCAAGCTCTTCCTACTGAGTGACTCCAGAGTCATTCTCAAGCAGCCACTGCCACTTGACCGGTGTTGACATTGCAAGACTCATCTGCTGTCCCTGAGCTGGGCTCAAAGCAGTGGTGATTCAATGGGCAATTTGAAAAATTTGGAGCTTGTGGCAAATTGGTGGCAGACTTGCCCATAGATCCGTGGAAGTCATGTTTTCATCCTTTCAACAAGAATGTGTCTAGTGCCTCCTATAGGCCAGTATATGAGTTAAACTGTGAGTCTTGGCTGCAGTTCTAAAGGAGCAAGAGTGAGGAACACACAGGCTGACCCATGCTGCCAAGTTGATTTATGAGTAGAAAGTCACCATGCAGTGAAGGAGGAGGAAGGGCATTTGAGGAGGGGATGGAATGTACCAAGAAACTGGCTGTGTGGGCTAGGCTTGACCACCTCTGATGACAGAGAGCTCCTTCCTCCCAAGGCTGTGCTGTTGTAAGTTATTCAGAATTGACAGCCTTGTGGGAGGAGGCCCAGTGCTGTGGTTGAGATCGCGGGCTCAGCTCCCATCCCACCACTTACTTAGCTGTCTGACCTTGGCGGTGTACGTGGCCCCTCTGAATTTCAGCAACCTCGCCGTGCTGGGAGGGTTGAGGGAGACAGGGTACAACGCACAAAGTAGAAGGGTTCCAGGGTGGAAGGGCGTTTTGTCTTGAGTCAAGATCTCCCTTCCTGTGCTTCCCGTCATCGATACATGTTAGGAGGCAGGTGTCTTCTTCCCCACGACAGGGTCTCTGTAGGTGGGGCCCTTTCTCCCTCTCCCTACCTGCTCAGTGTCTCCCCATCTCCTATAAGGTCAAACCTGAAGTCCTTAGTAAGACATTCAAGGCCCCTTCTGAGCTGGCCCCGGATAGGCTGAGCCTCGGGCTTCATCTCTTGCCTCTCCCTGGCTTGCCCTGACCTCTCAAGGCACTCGGAGCTCTTTGTAGTTACCGGAAGGTGCCCTGTGCTCCCTCACTTTGCATTTGCTGTTCCCTCTGCCCCATACATCTCCTCCACTCCTTCCCTAGCTAGCTCAGCCCAGGTGCCCCCTCCTCTGGGAAGCGCTGCCCCCTAGGCTATTCACAACCCTTCTCCTTCGTCCTCCTTGAGTCCCTGTGCGTCTCCGTGTCAGCGCGCAGCATGTGTGTTGAGTGTCTTTTGCCCTCTTTGAACCCACCAGGAGCAGTGGATGTGTCTTTTTTTATGTCTTGACACCGGGCATCCGGCGTATGCTTGAATGCATGGACAGACCATGCTATTCAGTTGGAACCCCGCAGAACTCAAGCGGTCTCAGGGCCTCAGGCAGACGGTCACCATGGGGGCCGCTGAAAGTCACTCACAGGCTCCTCTCAGAAGGAAGTGGCTGTTGATCCCTTTCTAGCTGGATCTCTTTTCTAGCAAATTCCCAGGGCAATTTGCTGTGGGAAGGTCGGTGTAGCCCCTTTTCCTGATGTTTGAGTTTTCTTGGAATGAACCCTATACACACCTGGGCTTCCCTTTCCTAACCTTAAAGATCAGTCACCACTTCCCTCTCTGAGGTCACGTGCTTTTGGGGTGGGTTTTCTGGCTCACTCGCCACAGGCCTGCCAGCAGGAGCTCTGCAGAAGCCATTCCCTCTCCGGGCCTCAATTTTTCCCCCTTAGTAAGTTGGGGGCAGCAGTATCTGCCCTGGTGCCGTCACAGGCAGCTAGATAATGTATATACACGAGGGGCCTTTATAAACCAGGTAAAGGCTGATAGTTGAAGCCTTCCACTAAGGAGATGTGCAACTTTGGACAAGATGTTTAACCTCTCTGGGCCCTGGTCACCTCACCTGTAAATCCTTCTAGCCACAACCATCTGTGACCCGACTTCTTGGCTCACAGGAGGGGAACACAAAGAGGACTCGGGCTGGAGTTCATCAGATGCCCGGCGGGAAAGTGGCTCAGGGCCTTCCGCGGACACCCTCTCGCCAGCCAGCCTGCCCTGGCCCCCGGGGAGTGCCCAGCTGGGCAGAATGGGCACCAGTGCCCAGGGCCCGCGCTCCGTCTCCGTTTCAGCTCTGCCCACCTCGGACTCCCCAACCCCTGGCCCTAGTGAGGGCCTTTCGGACACCTGTATCCCCCTGCACACCAGCGGCCGGCTGACCCCCCGTGCCCTGCATAGCTTCATCACCCCCCCGACCACGCCCCAGCTTCGCCGGCACACCAAGCTGAAGCCGCCGAGGACGCCGCCCCCACCCAGCCGGAAGGTCTTCCAGCTGCTGCCCAGCTTCCCCACGCTCACCCGGAGCAAGTCCCATGAGTCTCAGCTGGGGAACCGCATTGATGAGGTCTCCCCGATGAGGTGAGTGTTCCTGCCAGGCAGGGGCTGAGTTTGCTGTCTACTGACAGTTTTGACTGAGGTGCCCCCCACCGTCTCTCAGTCCGCTCCCCAGACTACCTTAACAGTTTGGGCTGAATCCTACTAGATTTTTCTGTGTACACACACACACACACACACACACACGAAATGATACCATGTATCAGTCAGGGTTACACCGCAGTAACAAATAACCCCCAGATCTCTGGGGCTTAAAACAACAGAGATTCATTTCTGGCTCCTGCTCCCTGTGCATCCTGGGTCAGCCTCATTCCAGCTCCTAGGCTGATGCAACACCCGCTGTCTGGAACGTTGTCTGGAACATTCCACTATGGCGGAGGAAGTAAAGAATTTTAGATGTTAACACACTAGCAATTAAATGCTCTTTCCTGAAAGTTCATGGCCCTTCCCAAACAAAGGAACCAAGAAATGTAATTCTCCACGTGCCCAGAGGGGAGAACTGGAGTATCTGGCTGAAACCTCTCAAGATTCTCAAATACCATGTACTCTAGTCTATAACCTGTTTTTTTCACTTACCTTGATATCTCTGAGAAATTCATGTCAGTACATCTTGAACTACCTCTTAATTTTTAAAATTTTTTTTGTCTATGTATTTTAAATAGGTAATAACAGTCAAATGGTCCAGATGCACTTGTGGTTCGTCTTTGTTGGGGGGTGTGGTGCAGAGTTACCCCTGCCATTTTTCCTCATCACCAAGATCCCTTTTCAGAAGCCAACTGGGTTATCACTTTTGTATATATCTATAATTATTCAGACTACCTCATCTTTTTTTTTTAACTTTCTCATATCACTGCATTGTATAGTTTAACTAACTCCTCCCCTCCTGATGGACATTTAGGTCATTGTCATTTTTGCGTTACAGAGATTGCCCTTGTCAGTGTACCCCTGTGGGCAGGGCCGAGGGGAAAGAGGGAGTTTTCTTCGGGTACCTCTTACCTTCTTGTACATCTGAGGGTTGGGGCCCCTGGCTCTCTCCTGACATGGCCCCCCTTTTCTGGTCTTGGGTGGGCTTGTTCCCCTTGTCCCAGTGCAGACTATTGTGGTTCCCTTATGGGATGAACCCTGGACCTCTCTGGTGGTTTTGAGTATGTCACCCAAGGACAGAAATCCATGCCGTGACCTGCCCTATCACTCCCGATCAGGCTGTCCTGCTGGGGCCTGGATCGCCCAGAAGGAACTACAGGCTTCCACCCCCTCGGGATGCTGGTCTCCCAGAGAACACAGTGGTAACTACCACATGGACTCATGGACATGGGTCAGTCAGAGGGCAGCTCAGCAGGCAAAATCTAGTGTGTCTCTCCTTTTCTCCTGCAAAGAGCGTTAGGAGGGCTCTGGTCTCATTCCCGGCTCTGGGCAGAGAACGAGCCTCAGGCAAATGACATACTTGCCCAGACCCCACAGCTGCTGAGCTGGGCCTCGGACCCTGGGATTCTGAGTCAGGTCCCCACAGAGGCACCGGAACTAGCACTGACGTGGGCAGTCAGCCCCCTCGCTGCCCTTGGTGAGCCCTGGGGGCAGGCTGAGTTGGCTGGGTCTTCCCCAGCTCTCTTGGTCCCTGGTACAGTGGCCCCCCTGGGGGGGCGTTGTCCCTGCCTGGTCCTGCCTGGGGGCTACCCTCCTGCTCTCACCACTGTTTTCCCTGCCCCCCAGCCCGAGCCACTTCCTCTCTGGCAGACGCACCCCTCCTCTCGGGGCTCCAGGCAGGGCTCCCCCCCTTTACAGGCACGTGACCTTGGGGACTGAGCCTCTGTGTCCTCAGCTGTGAGATGGCGTGAACTCTCGTTACCATGCAGGGTGGCTGGTGAGGCTTAGATAAGCTGATATAGTAAAATGCACAGCACAGCTGTAGCCTCGGTGCCTGCTAGGGGGCCCAGGGAGGCCACTCCCCATTGAGGAAATGTCCCCACAGTCACTCAGCCAGCCTGAGCATCTTGCTTGCCCTCCCAAGGGGTGATGTTCTGGGGAACACGCCGAGCCCACGTGGTGACATAATCCCCTTCTCTCTTTTTTGTCTCCTCCAGGTTCGGTAAGAGTGATTCGTTTCGTCCCCTCTGCCACCCGGGAGTCATGTTTGTGTTGCTGTCCCCATCGGGGGAGGATTTCTTTGACCCTCTCTTGGTTCACTCTGCTTCCCCCTAGTCCAGAAGCAGAGGCGCTGGGCAGCACCTCAGGAGACAGCTCTAGGACAGGTGGCTGTAGGATGACAAGGCCTTAGGATGATGAGGTGGCTTTAGGATGGCGAAGTGGCCTTAGGATGACAAGGTGCCTCAGCCCAGCTGCAGCTGCTTTTTGTGAAGCAGAGTCCTTTGACCTTGCCGCAGTCCGTGGGCAGCCCCTGTGATGGGCCTTGTCTGCACCTTGCCGTCTGCACAGGTGAACTCTGTGGCAGGGAGTGTTCACCTGCTGGGCTCCTGGTGGGGAGGCGCCATGTGTCTGGTGTAGGTGGGCCTTCACCATCTGCAGGACCCAGCTGACGTCTCGGGACGCCTATCCAGGAGAGGGACATTCCTGGAGGCAGGAATGTGGCTCAGCTTGGACAAGGCCCTGAGAGACTGGAGGGTGTGGATGCCCCCTTGGGAGGAGAGGAGAAAGCCCAGGCAGCCACCGACCCCCTTGTCTACCTCTCCACCTCCGTGTTGGGGGCAGCTTCTTGCACGTGGCTGTGCTGTGGGGCTTCTCTCTCCTGAGTCAAAGCAGAGGGAAACAGCCGTGCCTCTGTGCTCTGCCTCAGTGGACACGCAGAGGTGTCTGGGTTTTGCCTGAGCAAAATAGTTTTTCTTTTCTTTTTTTTTTTTTTAACCATCCTGAGCTGGCCAAGCAGAGTGATGGGGCTGTCAGCAGGGTCTCAGAGATGAGGAGGGGGATAGCAGGCAGTGAATGAAGCTGGCTACAGGGCCACCGGGAGGCGTAGGGTGAGGAAGGAGCGAGGCTGCACTTCCTCTCCCCAGGGCACGGGCAGAAACTCCCAGGGCCCTTCCAGAGCCGAGAGGAGAATCCAGCATCTGCATCCGTAGGCCGGCCTGGCCCTGTCCTCCTCCTGGTTGCTGTAGTAAAGCAGGGACCGTGGCAGTGAGACTGCTTCCCCAGCTTGCTGGGAAGGCAGGATGAGGCCTTTCAGCCAGTATTTCATCTAGAATCAGGGACAGCTGATGCCTGGCACGTGTCCCGTCTCACCTCCCTCCTAGCCCATGCCTGTGGCAGACATTACAAATCAATCATAGGTTGCGTTCAGACAGATGGTTGAAATCTCATTTTCCCACAGTCTGTTGCTCTTAGGCTGGCAGCCTAACCCCTTTTAGACCCAGGTGCTTTGATGGCCTTGGCCACTGGCTAGAGTGGAGTTGGCCCCATGAGACTGGGACCAGTCAGCTCCATGGCCGATGTGCCAGAGAGAGAGAGAGCTGCAGGTGGTGTGATTGTGGGTTCCCCCATCATCAGGGGCAGCAAAGGGCCTTTTGGTCCTGAGCACACTCCCCTCGATGTCGGAGGAGGAGTCGGTGCCTCCAACATGACCTTCTCCTTGTGGTTGGGAATGTGGTATTTGGCCTTAAGGGAGCCAGCCCTTAGTGAGCACCAGCTGTGTGCCAGGCCAGCATGGGGTGAGGGGCGTGGGGGAGGTACAGTGGCCTCTGCTGACCCAGAGGACACTAGATTGGCCATTGTGCTTCTAACCTCTGGGTCACAGGTCTCTTTGATAATTGATTAAAAGTCTAGACCCTCTTTCTAGGGAAAAGGCCACCACATTCTGCTTCCCAGTCCAGAGGCTTCCTAGACCCCCTGAGGCCCATCCATGGGCTCCACTGAGAGCCCCTGCACCAGGAGGAGATGGGCAGAGGGGGATGGGAGGAGGGGAGCAGTGGGGGACTCGGACCTGCGAGCTGCTGTGGATGGAGGCAGTGCTTCCAGCTGCTCCTCCACTGCCCGACCTGTGATGCCATCAACACTGCTGATGCCTGTCCTCATGGGGAAGCCGGGATTAGGAGAGGGCAGGCAGAAGGGGCATCTGAAAGCTCGTGGCCGGAGACCCAAAGGCTCAGACTGAGGGCCAGGTGGGCGTGGGAGCACGGTGCAGCTTCACCTTGTCCTCATCTCCCTGCCCAGATCTGGCAGTGGCGGCTCTCAGAGCAAAATTCTCAAGGTGCTTCTGGCTGACCAGCCTCAAACCCTCCACCAAGGGTCAGACTACTTCTATCCACTTAACAAGAAGTGACCAGAACTCAGCCCTCGCAGGCTGGGGCCCTGTGGGTGCATCCGTGAGGGAGTGCACGAGGTCGGGGTGTGGAGACAGCTACCCTCTCCTCTGCTTTGCCGTCTGCCTCTCCAGCCTGCCTTCCGCCGAAGCGGGAAACCACACGGGGGCAGCAACTGAGCCGTCTGCAGAGGCCAGCCGTACTGTTCGTTAGAGGAGCAGGCCAAGTGTGAGGGTGACCGCGCTGCCCCCTTGGTCTCGCCTGGCCTGTCCCTCTTTTGATAGATCAGGTTCAGGGGCATTTCTCTGCCTTGCGATAAGGTGCGCCCATCTAGGCTGTGCTCTCTGAAACAGGTCACAGGCATGAGGTGTCCCCAGCGGGGCTTCCTCAGCCTGCCCCCCTGGCCTCTTTCCCTGCAGATCTCCCACATGGATCGCCACAGATGGTACGAAGGGACATTGGGCTGCCGGTGACGCACAGGTAGGCCCCGCCGGGCTGGGGCCGGGAGGGGGCACAGAGCTGGGCTGGGACCTGCATGTGCCGGAGCCCCACTGAGGGGGTCACTCTTCATCACAGTGGGGATCTGTCCTCTGCTTCTGGTCTGTCTGTCCATCACCTCTGTGGACATAGCCCTGTGCCCCTCAGTAGCAGCTTCTGGTGACTCTGGCATTCATGCATGTTAGGGAGGGCTGACTGGGGCCTATGACATGGACAGTCCAGCGGGCCTGGCCTCAGTGCTCATGAGGCTGGGGTGTGATGCTGACCACAGGTCTGGGTGGCGTCTCGTCAGCCAGAGGACCACCAGGACACCTTGGGATGCCTGTGCTCTAGCCGTCCCTGCTAAAGGCTGTTGGGAACATGACAGGGGATGCTTGCCAGGAACTTTGCAACTTGCCAGGGCTCTTCATTTCTGGGGAGTGTGAGCTGCACTCCAGACCAGAGGGGTTGAGTAATTTGCCTGAGGTCACACTGCCAGTAGGACAGTGCTTGAGCCCACCAGCTGGTGCCCGGGCACCCCTGTTTGGAACCTTGTCAGGGCTGCGATGCCTGTACCCCAGAGCCTGGGGGGAGAGTCCAGGGTACCACGGACAACCAGGTGAGGCCCTTTGAGTGAAGGTCCTGGACATACCCAAGATGCCAAGTGTGACCTTCCCAGGGCCATGAGAGAGCTGCTGAGAGCAGGACCTTTCAGAAAGTCAAGAACACCCCTCCGCCCCCATTAGATTATGCCTGTGGGCAGGACCCTCTCCAAGCCTCAGTTTCCCCTTCTGCAATGAGACTTCCAGTCCAGTCACGAGGATAACACAGGGTGATGTGCATCTGAGCCTTGCGTGTCCACCAGCGGGGGGTCCTTGCTGTTTAACCTCTGGCTCCAGCCCGAGAGGGGCCGACGGGATCCGAGGGTTGCTCCGTTTCAGTCTTGTCTGGGCTGTGCTGGGTTTCACAGAGGATTCGAGGCCGTGCCCGTTTGCCCCCACGTGTTTGCCAGACTGCTGCTTCCTTCCACCGGTGGCAGCTAGTTCCAGAGGCTGCCCTCCAAGCCGGGCAGCTCACCCCTCATGCCTGGCATTGCCAGGCTGCCCCACCCGCTGAGGTTCTGGGCTCAGGCAGGCGATGTCACAGTCACACCCTCTTGGTTTTTACGCCCACGATCCAGGCCTCTTTCAACAAGAAGGTCTAAAGGTTTTTTGGTCTAGTTATAGGGGCAAAACTATCCCATGACACTTCCCTGGTCCGGAAGGGTCCCCCCATCCCTCATCCCTCAGCCGACCTCCCAGCACCTGCGCCTGCTCAGGCCCGGACCCGACCGTCATCTCGGCCCATTTCTGGATTTCCTCGCGGAGGTCATCTCAGATACCTCTGAGCTGTCCCCCTTGTCCCAGTGTGGACATGAGAGCAGATTAAAGCCTGGGGGTGCAGGGAAAAGTGTGGGTCCCAGGGAGGCAGAATCGGGGCTCCTTAAAAGGCACCCAGCAAGGCGGACGCCTTTGTCCAAGCCCCCATCTTGGCTGGGTGGAGACAATAGCGTTCACGCACCTCCTCCAGGTGGCAGACACTACGCAGTCACACCTCACACGTGTGATCCTCCCCTAGTCGCTGTGAGGCGGGAGCACTGGCCCCATCTGCAGAGGCTCCTGGACACCCACAGCCAGTGGTCTGCAGGGCTCAGACCCCAAGTGATCTGACCTGAAGCCACGCTTTTTCCCTCGTGCTCTGCCTCAGTGTCTCTCTTACAGAGAAGCCGTGCAGCTCTGACTGCAGAGACCTGGGGTCTGCCCTGCGCACAGCATCCCAACTGTGTGACCTCGGGAAAGTCACCCGACCTCTCTGAGCCAGTTCCCTTGCCTGTGTACTAAGAATCCTGGGGGCGGTTGTAAGAGTCGAGTGAGCTAATGCTTATGGGTGTGTTACGAACTGCTCCTCAAGCAAGTACTGATGCTGTTCTGTTTTTAGTGTGATATACTCTGCTTTTAAAAATCTCTTCCAAGAAAAATGTGCGTTCTTTCTACCGGCCTGAGGCTGGTTCTCTGGAGGATACCACCCACTCAACCCCCATCCTTCCTTCCAACCTATTTTTTGTGTTTCTTTATTTTTTTAAAATTTTGATTTAGTTTGGTTTGAAATATATTCACACATTCAAAATTCAAGAAGTAAAAAGGGTATATATAGAGAAAAGTCCCCTCCCACTCCTGTCCCCAGCTCCCCAGGTCCCCCTGTGGGCAGATCTTAGCAGTTTCTTGGGTCTCCCTCTGGAGATATTTTTATATAAGCAAATACATATGTATATTCTTCCACCTCCTTTTTTGTTTTCACACAAATGCTGCATATATTATACACATTGTTCTATACTTTGTTTCCTTTTTTAAATTGAGACATAATTTATACAGAGCTAAGTGCACAGATGGATTTTGACATATGTACACCCCCATGCGTGCTCCCAGAGGAAGATTCAGAGCTTTCCAGCTCCCCAGATAGTGGTTTTGGCCCTGCCCAGGCGACAGTGCTGCCACCCAGATGGCACTGTCCACTTCTGTCACCCGGGGGTAGGTCTCCCTGTACTTGAACTTCATAGAGATGGAATTGTACAGTATTGGACCTCACTGTTTTCACCGATGGCGTAATTTGGAGATTTTTCCATACCCGCAGAGAAAGAGCTTCGTTATTTTATTTACGGACTACACGGTGTTTGGTTGTGTGACTGGACCATACTTTCTGTAGTCAGTCACCTATGCACCTGACAGCGTAGGTTGTTTCACGTCCTTTACTGCTGCAGAAATGCTGCAGGGAGTAACCTTGTCCATACATCATTTGACACCCGTGGGAGTATCTGCTGGGTGAATTCCTAAGACTGGAATTGCTCCGTATGCACACCTGTCCTTTTGATCGCTATTGCCAATCCCTGCTGGAGAGCTGACATCAGGGACCACACCAGCTTTGGGATTTTGACAATGATGACCTTGTAGCTGAGAAATCTGAATACCTAGGGGAAAGTAGTGGCCCCTGTGTGCCCCTGCCCTCCCTGGGAGAGGGTACCTGGAGCTCTGGGTTGGAACAAGTCTCCTGGTTTCCCTGGGGCTGTGTGGGGACCCTTCTCCATCCAGGCCCTCGTCTCCTGGCCCATGTGAGCATTTTTGTGTGTCCACCCCTGCAGGTTCTCCACCAAGTCCTGGCTGTCGCAGGTCTGCCACGTGTGCCAGAAGAGCATGATGTTTGGAGTGAAGTGCAAGCATTGCAGGTGATGGGCAGAGGGTTGGGGTGGTGGGAGAGGAGAACATTCTCAATACTTTTAGTTTAATAACAGTCCTGCTGCTTGATTCTTGGCCTTAGGTCAAGTCAGAGTTCAAAGGAGTTGCCCTAAACCTACTGTTCGTAATCCCATTTGGCACACCAGAGAATTAGCAGCCCTCTCTAGAGAGATTAAGGAAGCATCAAGCAAGGCACTCCCAGAAGAAAGGAATATTTGAGGTGGGCTTTGAAGGATGAATAGAAGTTTGCCAGGTGGACCCAGGAGGAAAGAGAATTCCAGACCAAGGGAATATCTTGTACAAAGGCAGAGAGGAATGGAGGACTATTCTGGCATCTATAAGGGGTTCTGAAGTTGAGCCTTACATTTTAGCACACAAGGGATGGGAAACGGGGACAAGCAGTGGTAAGAACAGAGAGATGGCTCATGGTACTTACAGAAGAGGAGAGTGGAGGAGAACGTAGAGTCTCTACAATCCTGTCTTCTTTTTTCCTGCCATTGTGGTTTCTGGTGAGAAAGAATGGCAAGGAGAGGGAACAGTGAGGGCTGAGCAGTGTCCACCCCCTGCTCTCCGGCGGCCCTCACCTTACAGACGGTGAACCTGGACTCTCTGCTCTCCGCCCACTTTACCCCTGCATTGCTGTGTGACCTGGGGCAAGGTGCTTGCCCTTTCTGGGCCTCATTTTTGTCATTTATACATCTGGGAAGATGATTCCAGCTGTCTTTGTCCATCAGGATTGCTCCAAGAACCTGAGCTAGCATGTGTGGTAAAAGCTCTTGGGCTCCCACAGACCACAGGTGGTGGGTCTCTTGCGTGTCAGCTGGATAAATTGTGTTTTCCTGATCACCAAGGAGAGGCCAGAGCTTTCTCCTCAGTCTAGATCCGCTGTGGCACCTGCCATTTGGCTTTAAATTGGGGACCCCCAGCTCCCTTTCAAGCGATGCCTTTTGTGCGGAGAGCACAGGCTGACCTCCGAGCCCTGTGCCCTCCTGTGGTTGCAGTGTGAGGGTGCTGGGGCCCCACTGTCAGCCTGTTTGATGGATGAGAACCCTGAGGCGTCATGCAGCGGCAGGACCAACCCGAGAACCCAGCCCTTCCCCTCCTGGCCACTCTGATCCGTAGACCACATGGCCCCTGCTGGGGTGTAGCGGGTGGGGCCGCCCCTCCCCTCCCTGAGATCCTTGGGGAATGCAAACGTTCTCCTTCTGATTCATCTTTTGTGCAAGTTCAGGTTTGTCTCGAGCTTTCTGAACAGGGGTGGAGGGTCTCCTTTTCCTTAGAAAAGAAAAACAGATGTGTGACCACACATGACAAGTTAAAATAGGTACAGTCAAGTCTGCTTTGCTGTGCACATGGAGTGACCAACAGGAACGTGGTCGTGCCCGCAGACAGCAGCTGCTGGTGCTGTTAACATCAGGATGCTCTACACTTTTGAGCTAACGTTTGTTCAGAAACTTGTGGAAATTGAGGCTGTTGTGAGTGAGTGTTGCCCAGGGCTGCCGGGCGATGCCTGAGCCCCTGTGGGGCCCCGGGAGCCCGCGTGGTCCTCCCGGCACTGACCCTGCCTCCTCTCCAGGTTGAAGTGTCACAACAAGTGTACGAAAGAAGCCCCCGCCTGTCGGATTTCCTTCCTGCCACGTGAGTGTTCTGCCCTCTCCCCTCCGCCTTCTGGATGTGAGCTCAGTCTTTCTTGAGCTTGATGTCTTCCCTGCTGATGGTTCGCCCCTCTTTTTAAACAGTCCCCAGGCTTCGGAGGACAGAATCTGTCCCCTCGGACATCAACAACCCGGTGGACAGAGCCGCCGAACCCCATTTCGGAACCCTCCCCAAAGCACTGACAAAGAAGGTATGCTGGGCGACAGCCCGGGGGTCTGCTGTTTCTGCCAGGAGCACCCCTCTCCACTCTGGAATTCTTTTCTGTAAGGCCCCCCTGATATAGAGGTGCAGCTGGGGCCGAGGGTGGCAGGGGGGCAGTGGGACCTGACACTTGGTCTGCAATCCATGGCCAGATGGTGGCCTTCAGGGAGCCTGTCTTTAGCCATTTAGCAGACTTCACAATTATGTCCAAATCGTGGGCACATGCCCAGGACCCCCCTCCCCTATTTTGAGCTAACATTTCACTTACTGTGAGTCAGGAACTTTCTCCATCAGTGCTTCATTTGACCCTCACAATGGTTCTAAGAGATACATTTTGATATGACCTCCATTTTTCAGATGAGGAAACTGGGCACGGGGTCCCCCAGGAGTGAGAGGCAGGCCCAGCCCCGAGCCTGGGGCCTTAGTCACAGCGCGGCAAACACATCTTGAAACGTAATACGTGAAAGCACCTTTCTTGACGTAGCCTGGGGTCCGGCTTCTCTGCTAATGCAGACGGGTGTCGTCTGCAGCTAGACAGATTCTCGAAGGCTTGTGTCCCCAGGAGGGTCTTCAGACCTGCCACGGGCCCCCATGCACAGGTGTGTGTGCTGTCTGCGAGGCGCCCATGCTCGTGACTTCTGACGGTGGTCCCTATCCTGGTGACCACACAGTAGCTGTCTGCCCCCCTGCCCCCCGCTGCCCTGGGCCACTGTGGGTGTTTTCAAGCGTGTTGTGCCCCAGCTCCAGACCAGGGCTTAGCATGTACTTGCCTCCCTACTGAAGGGTGCGTGAGCTGCTCCGTGGCCGTGGCTAGCCTCCAGTGGCTTGGGCCAGCCTGGGTGGAGGTTTGGGCAGAGAGAAGAGAGGCAAGTGACATGTCCAGTTAACACTGGGGACCCTAAAGATGCAGCCTGGGGAGCTGCTCCAGGAGGGTCCAGGGCCTCCTCTTATTGTCAGTTGGGAGGCCGGCTGCTCCAGACCTAGTGTATCTTACGGGCCCGCTCATGTCTTCCCTCCTGCCTCTCTCTGCCTATCATCGCATTTTCCCTCTGTTGGTGGCATTCCCACCAAGAATGGAGAGGCCGAGTGGAAAGATGATAGGATCCACAGCCCTGGGTTCGAGTCCCGACTGTTTCCCTTTCTTGCTTCTGCGACTTGACCTCTCTGAGCCTCTTTCCTGTTTGGAAAGTGGGGTTACCAATGCTTTGTTCACGGGATGTTGTACGGGTAACTAGATCTAGAGTTGGTGAACTTGCTGGTCGGGAGCAGTACCATCTGCTCAACGGTGTTCGTTTCCAGCCTGTCACAGACAGTCGCAATTCATTGGTGGGATGCCAGATCCCCTGGTCTACCACTCCCCACCTCGCCAGAGTTGTTTCTGTGCCTGCCCGCTCCTTTCCAGCTCCATCCAGCGCACACCCCCCACCCCATCCTTGCACACCCCTCGCTTACCTTCTGTCCGTCTGTGCCCTGGTGCACTTACTCCTGCATTTCCACCCACCTAGACACCCACCCCTCACCCTCCTGTCAGTTCTTCAGAACCCACCGAGTGTCCGTCCTCCTCCATGAGCCCCTCCTGCTCGGCCCTTAACCAACATGGTTCTGGGTGGTGCCTGATGGCCTCTCATGTCCCTGAGGGAGCAACCTAGTGTCATCCTTCCGATATCCCCTATTTATGGTCATTATTGCAACTCGAGCTAACAGGTACTGAGTTCTCACTCGGAGCCTGGCGTTGTGCTAAAGGCCATGTGTTTATCCCATTGACCTCACCAGGGCGAGCCTGGCCCTCTGACCTCTTCTCCAGCCACCCTCCCCACTCCTCGCTCAGCCAGGCTCTGCCCATTCCTGCCTCGGGGCTCTTGTGCCCCCCCCCGTTCACTCTGTCTGAAACACTCTGCCCAGCGTTTACAGCACTCCTCCTCGGGCAGGCCTGGCTGGATGTGGCCTGAGGGGCAGCGCCCCTGGCCGCACCGCTCCCTTCCCAGACTTCCTCATGACCTGCTGTCACAGGGTGCAGTCCCATGTCTGCCGTCTGCTGCCCCGTGTCGGGGCTCAGGAGGGCAGGGCCGGGTTCTCTTGCTCTGCCTGGTCCCTGACGCCTCCCTTGGCGCCTGGTGCACAATAGGCAGTGAGGAAGCGTTTGTATTGAACGTTGAGCAAATGAACAGCCCTGTGAGGCAGCAGCTGATACCCTGTTTTATAGATGACACACTGTGACTCAGAAAGGTGGGGCGATGGATCCAAGGTCACGCAGGTGCCGAGTGGAGATGCTGGGAATCAACCTGCCTCTCAACCACTCCCCCTGTCTGGGTGACGGGATTGAGGGTCTAGGGCCTTGGAGCGTGCATGGGGCCAGGGAGAGCTCAGGGGTCCCTGCCCTGCTTTAGCCCGGCACCAGGCGGCGTTGGCTGTCCCTGGACGGGGAGGCCCACTGCATCGGCTTTGGTGGTTCTAGAGCCCACACGTGCCCCAGAGCCTTTAGAGTCTGTGGGAGAGAAACTGGTTGAACTCAGCATTGAACCCAACTTAGCCCCAGCTCTTTTGACCAAGGAATTTGTCCCTGCCCCCTGAGGATTGGTGTTTGGTTCTGGGAAACACGGGCCAGGTCCGGGGTCCTCCCTACCATGGAATCAGTTCCCTGTAGCCTCTCTCTGGGGGTCCTTTGGCCTTGCTAGGGCTCAGCCACTGGCTGGTCCTAGACAGCACGTCTGCAGAAGTAGAGGGAGCACTTCGTAGGTACCTGCTGTATACCACACACAAAATAAATGCTTGTCAGAGGCTGAATTTAATTCATTAAAAAACCCTGCTATGGGGGCTGGCCCCGTGGCCAAGTGGTTAAGTTCGCGCACTCCACTGCAGGCGGCCCAGTGTTTCGTTGGTTCGAATCCTGGGCGCGGACATGGCACCACTCGTCAAACCACGCTGAGGCAGCGTCCCACATGCCACAACTAGAAGGACCCACAACAAAGAATATACAACTATGTACCGGGGGGCTTTGGGGAGAAAAAGGAAAAAAAATAAAATCTTTAAAAAAAAGAACAAAAAACCCTGCTATGTGCCTGGCTCTGGGCCAGGCACTGGGTGTGTTTGAGCAGCCGTGGTCCCCCAGGACGCACAGTGTGGTGGGAGAGACAGTCTTCAGAAAACCGCCCAAGTTGCCTGCCATTGACAAACCTCAAACTGTGGTTTGGGTGCCCTGAGGAAAAGTGCTGGGAGCTATGGGAGGATAAAGAGGAGGAGCATGGTCCCAGCTGGGGCTCAGGAAAGGCTTCTGGAAGGAAAGTCTGTTTAAGCTGAAAGAAGAAAGATGAGCAGGTGTCCTCTGCAGGATGGGTGTTGAGGTGAGGGTCTCTCTGTGCCCTCCTCCCCTCCAACATTAGACCGGGCAAATGTCAGGATGCCCTGGCTGACCTCATTTTTAGCTGGGGAAGGGAGGATCTCGGCACGGGGTGTGGGAGGCAGGCTGAGCAGGGTAGCGACAGTCCCTGCCCACCTCCCCTGTCTCTGGTCCTGCAGGAGCACCCTCCGGCCATGAACCACCTGGACTCCAGCAGCAACCCGTCCTCCACCACGTCCTCCACGCCCTCTTCGCCGGCGCCCTTCCCGACATCATCCAACCCATCCAGTGCCACCACGCCCCCCAACCCCTCACCCGGCCAGCGGGACAGCAGGTTCAACTTCCCAGGTACCGTATTGCGGGGCTTTTTTGGGCCCTCAGGGATGGGGTCGGATGCCCCTTCTCAGCACACCCCAGCAGGCTCAAGGTCAAATGCTGCCACCAGGAAGAGCACTTGCTGGGTGCCAGGCACGTGCTGAGCTCAAGCACGCTACCGTATTTAAACTTGATAGCAGCTCTGAGGGAGATGCTGTCATTGCACCCATTTTGCAGATGGGGACAGTGAGGTTCAGAGAGAGGAAGTGGCTTGCCCCGAGCCAGGGTTCCATCCAAATCCATCTGACATGAAGTCCGGGTTCTTGCCATAATCCCCATGCTGCCCTCCTGTGCATGGGCTGGCTCCTTCTGGGCATTATTCACTCACTCAGGGCTTCTGAGTTCCCCGGAACCATGGCAGGCGGCACAGGGAGCTGGGGGAGGCCCGGAGGCATGGAAGGGGGAATCCAGGCTCTGTTGCTTACCTGCTCTGTGATCTGGACCAGCTATTGAAAGGGGAGCTTTCGTTCCCTTTTCCATAGAACAGGGGACCACGTGAAGTTGGGGTTAGGTTGTCCCCATTGTGTGGATGAGGACACTGAGTCCCACGGGGAGTGCGTGCCGGAGCAGCCCTGAGCCAGCGCTGACCTCTGAGTGACCGCAGCCCCTGCTGCCCTGAGGTCTGTATGGCCAGGACCCCCCACCTCTCGGCTGGGCCTGGGGTCTCCCGCCTCCCCAGGGAGCAGAGCGAAGCCTACTTGTCCATTTCAGGACTGATCCTCAGCCTTGCCTCCCTGACAGCTCCTGGAAGTCGTCTTAGCCCTCAGTGTGTTTCAGTTGGCACCCTGGGGGGACGGGGAGGCATTGCTGGGACCCTCCAGTTTGCTCCAGGCCCAGCCACAGGTCCGCCGCTAGCTTCATCCTGTGGAGTCTGGGTCAGGACCCACCTGTCACTGGCCCCTGGGGCTCCAGGCCCAGGAGGACAGAGGCACAGCTCTTCCTGTGCTGGGGGACCCCCCACTGGGGCCACATGCAGCCAGCAGGAGGCTGGGCAGCCTCTCTGGGTGCCTCTCACCAGGGTTCCAGGGCCTTCTTTTGGGGACCTTCTTGGGTGAAAGACCGAGATTTTGTAGAAATCTTTTTTCTCTTTCTTCCATCCCTTCGCCTTCACACGCGCATGTGGCTAGATGTCTCCTGACGTTAATGCACCGCCCTGAGCACACCCTCTCTTCCCTGCGGCTGAGCGATGGCCCCTTTGATTAACCTCGTCTGCCATTCTGCTGTGTCATTATTATGCTCTGAAACCAGGCCTTTTGCTAAACCTCCTGGTTTCTGGGTTTTTCTAAAAGGAAGAGCCTGTTTGAAAAACAACAGCCACAGAAAAAGTCCTTTTTGTGATGTCAGCCAGAGCTTCTCAGCTTTCTTGGTGTCCTCGGGGTGAGCCCTCCTTGTCCCCTGCACAGAGCCCGCTCTCTCCAGGGTCTGTTATCTCTCTGATCACAGCAGCGCCCGGGGCTGGGCTAGCCCCGTGGTTAAGCTGGGGGAGGAACTTCTACCGTCCACCCACTCTGTGCTGTGCGGGAGCATTTCAGTTTGTCCTGGGTGATAGCTGGGGAAATTTTTCAGTCCATTTTACAATACGACAGCGGAGACGTTCACCAGCTTCCCAGGCCTCACCTCATAGATGGCAGGACTGGGGTGAGAAGCATGCTGGGTCAGAGTCCCCAGACGAGCTGGTGTGTCCCCTTCAGTCATCCTTAAGAGAGGATGTTTTTGGGGCCGGCCCGGTGGCGTAGTGGTTAAATTCGTGTGCTCCATTTCGGCGGTCCAGGTTCACAGGTTCGGATCCCGGGCACAGACCTAGTACCTCTTGTCAAGCCATGCTGTGGTGGCATCCCACATAAAATAGATGAAGATTGGCACAGATATTGGCTCAGGGCCAATCTTCCTCACCAAAAAAAACAAAAACACCAGAGGATGTTTCTCTTTTCCCCAGTGGTGAGATCAAGTGTGAATGTGGGGCTGAGGGCTGAGACCATTCTTCTGCACACAGCACTGTTAAGATGTTTTCAGAATCAGGGTTTTTCTCCCCATTGTATTTCACCCTCCTGAGCTCATGTGCATTTCACAGAGGAGAAGCGGCCCAGGAGGGGAACAGAATCAGCCATGGCTCTGCAGCAAGGCCACGGAGACTGGGTCTGTGAACCCCAGTCCTCCAGGGCAAGCCCCTCTCCTCCTGGGGGCTCCTGCCAGCACCCATTTCCTCCCAGCTCTTTTTCTCCTTCCTGCATGAATCACCCTGTCCTGGCCAGGCCCAGCTGGGGCAGGACAGGTGGGGTGGGGCTGCCCCAGCAGATAACCAGCCCCTCTCTCCCAAGCCCCTGCCTGCGTCCCTTCCTCCCTCGGCTGCGTTTGCTGTTCTGTGTGTATGACTCACCTCCTCTTCTGTTTAAAGCTGCCTACTTCATTCATCATAGACAGCAGTTTATCTTCCCAGGTGAGTCGTTTGCATGGTTCCACTAACTGCCCCTTCCCTCGAGCCCCTCTGTCCAGCCCACCTGGGCGCCCTCTCCCTGGGCACCTTCGAGGTGCTTGAGTCTCACACCCACCTGTTTTGAGAGCTGACTGTCTCTTGAGGCTGGGCAAGAGGGCAGGGTGAGTAGCCTTGAGGCTGGCCCTTCATAGGTGCAGTGCCTCACTGGGAGGGACCTCAGTATCCATCCTGTCCAGCCTCTTGCACAGAGACTGCAGGCAACTTTTCCAGGGTCACACAGCCAGGAAGTGGCAGAAACCCAGTTTGCAGCATGAGGGGGAAACGGACTTTTTTGCTGATGGCTTATGAGCATCTGTCATGGAGTCTTCCCCTGCATAAGACAAGGAAGCTGCTACCCTACCTTAGAGAAGGGGATGCGTGTTTGGGAGGGTCTGCAGGCTTCGCCTTTTCAGTGGGCCTCACCTTCTAGTGCCTTACCGCACAGCGCCATCTGCTGGCCATTTTTGGACATGCCGCTTTCGTGCAGAAAGTTGAGAGCAAAAACCTTGCAACTCAGTATCTCATTGATTCCCTTCCACAAAAATGGTCTTGCACGCCAGCTTTGTGCTCAGCCTTTGCATTTGACCATGTTCCTGCTCCTAAGGAGTTTATAGGATTAGTACTTATCTCTCTAGTGGAAGGTGACAACTTTAATTCTTAATGGATCTGCAACTTTAATTCTTAATGGAGCCATGTGAAGGTTCTGTGTGTTCTAGACAAAGACGGTGGCTGCTTGCTTTCTTCCTGGGTTAAACAGGCCTCACTTGAAGTCATGGTATTTTGGTTATTCCAGGCTTTCCTATTCTGCAACTCAGCTCCACGAGGGGAGTGGCGTGGAGCATTCGTTAGTTCTTACAGGGCCATCTGGAGGGTTTTGCAGGCATGTGCGGGCTGGCTGGGTCAGGGGCAGGCTCCTCAAGCTGCCTCTGTGCTTTCACACCTGCTTTGCTGTGGTTCCCACTGCAGGAGCCCCTCTGTTTCTGGCTGTAGGATGGCATACAGGGGAGTAGAGCATTGGGAGAACATGGCCCTTCTTCTAGAAGGGTCCGTCTTGCTCTGAAGATGTGTTACGGGGGAGAATATATCTCTATTAAAACAAACATGGACACATTGGGGAGCAGAATGCAAAATACCATCTTAATGTTTAAGGAAAAGCATGAGGCTTCAGACATTTTGCCCTCCCACCTGGGGTGCTCTTTCTCCCCAAACCCCTACCTCCTCACCCCTACGCATGTGTTTTCTTCTGTGGGAACATTTGAGCAGCGTTGCAGGGGTGGAAATGTCAGGCCGCCCCTAGCAGTCTGCAGACTCGTCACCATGTCTGGAGGAGGCCTTAGCAGAGGTGCCCGGGGGCTGGGATCCCCCAGAAATCGTGCACAGGGTGTTGGGTGTGTGTGTGCTTTTCCCTGGTAAGAAAGCCCACGGCCGCCATCAGATTCTCTGAGCCTCTGAGGTCCCAGAGGTGTCGTGGACCCTGGTTCAGATGACCTGCAGGGTGGCCTGGAGGAAGCCCTGGAGGGGGAGGGCAGTTTGATGGCTGGTGGGGAGACTCTGCGTCCTAGGGGGCAGCGAGATGTGCCGATTGCCTGGAGCCACAGCGGCCGCCAGTCTCCTTTTGCTGAGAGGAGGAGTGAGGGCCCACCGAGCCCTGGGGCTGCTGGCCTCCCTGAGTGCCATTCGAAGGGACTAGAGAGCATAGAGCCAGGCGGCAGGGACAGCCATGGAGGGTTTGGCCTGTAGCATGTTGGTTCCATGCTGGGGTGACCATCTGTCTGCTGTTCCCCGGATGTGGGACTTCCAGTGCCACATCTGGGAAAGCCCCTTGCTGCCCAATCTTGGGGCCCCCCTGAGGTGTGGACTCTGCGTTTCTTCCTCTCCCCTGAGACCTCAACCCAGAAGTTAAGGGGGATGGAGCCTCTTGCTCCCCACAGAAATTCCCAGGAGCTGTGCCAGGCACCAGGTGTCACTCATGAGCCACCTGCGAGTCCTGCCTTTTGCCTCCATGCACCTGAGTGAAGGAGTCTCCCTACTTTCCAGGGTTGTTGCCACCAGCCCCTGCCTCCAAGCCAAAGGAGGGTCTGGCCCACGTGTCTGGTCACCAGTGGCCCAGTTTACTTTCACCTCTTGCTTGTATGAGGAGTTTGGCCACAAGAGAATGGCGTTAACTGAGAAGCCTTGTCCACTTGGGGCAGAGCTGTGTGGGCAAAACCAAGTGCTGAGGAGGCTGCATCCATGTTCGGTTTTAGGGAAAGTGGACGTGGCCCAGGGAACTTGCGTGCAGCCTGTGAGGGCCCCTGGGGGAGGACCCACTGCCCCTGCATGTCTGGGGTTTGCCAGCACTGTGTCCTCTGGGAGGAGCCGGAGGTGGTCTCATGCTGCATGTGTGCTTTCTGTTTCCTCCAGACATTTCAGCATCTCCACAGGCAGCCCCGTCCCCTGACGCAGCGGACAGCACCCGGTAGGTAATCCCTGTCCCCTTTCTCCTCTGTGGGGACCTGCTGAAGCTGACTCATATCCCTGACCACCTCCCATCCCGCCTTGAAAGCTCGGCCCCCCAGAGCCGGATGTTGCGGTTACCTGGGCCAGCCAGGTGGGAGGCTCCATGGGCAAATCCACCCTCTGACCAGGGAACTCAGCCGGAAGGCTTTTATTGGCCTCCCTTCAGGGCAGTCAACACTGCGTGGGGCGTAGGTAAACCTGGAGCGGTCTCGGGACCCAGGGGTGGGCAAAGGGCACTCGAGTTAGAGAAAGCTACTAAAAATAGCTCCTGCTTGTGGAGCCTGGTCTCCGTGTCAGGCGGCGCTGAGCAGCTGGCTCATGTTCCCTCGTACGGTCCCGAGCCTGGTGTCGATGCAAATAATCTGTAAGCGAAACTGGGGTGAGTTTATTATGAGTCAGATCTGAAGGCTAGCCCGGGGCCTGCCTTCCCCAAAGAAGGAACGGGGCACCAAAGAAGTGAGGTGGACAGAGTGGTTATAGCCCCTTAAAGAACATGTATCACATACGATTAGAATGTCCCTTTTACAATGGTCACGAGGTTGCCTCACGCATAGCAATTCACACAGCAAGTGGTAGGTCTGCTGTCTCGAGCTGGGTGGTCACAGGTGAGCACAGCAATCAGTTCCTAGCCTAGGGAGAGATGCTCATCCTTAAGGAAATGCCAATGTGGGGGAAGTTGCATCTTTATCTTAAGGCCATTTGCTCTTGTATTTGGGACATAGCAAATGCTTAAAGCAGATATACAACGCATGCTCAACGGCCATGTCAGACCCTTTTGGAAAAACAAGGTCAGGATGAATTAGTTATCCACCGAATGGCTTCCTCATATACTCCAATATATCCTGTTGCTTGCCATTTATTTATCACTGGTAAAGAAGGTCTTAAGGTACATGTCATCCTCACCCCACAGATGAGGAGGCCAGCTCAGAGGTTAAGGAATTGCATAAAGTCACACCACTAGGAAGTGACAGAACCAGTTATCAAGTAGAATTTCAAGTCTTGTGCATATGCTCAGAACTCTCATCCTGGGTGTCAGATTTGAAAGGGCCTCGGTGTTACTGCCCGCTCCTCATCCCCCGCTACCCTCAGGTTAGTCTGGGGAAGGCCGAGGCCGGAGAAGGGAAATGGGGTGTGGTCCTCGGCTTCCTGACTTTGCACAACCTCCAGACTGCCTGTCTCACAGCCAAGTGGGTCAGAATAAGGACCCAGGTTCTCGGACCTCCCATGGGGCGTCCCCTGCCCAGCTGAGTGCGAGTAGCCTACCCTCAGGGTCTGCATGACAAACCCTGTTTTACTCTTAGGCTCGACGACCAGCCAAAAGCAGACGTGTTGGAGGATCATGAAGTGGAGGTGAGTGAGGGTGACCCACAGGCCCTGGACGTGCCTTCTCTCTCGTCTCCCCATCTCAGTACACACAGGGTCTGGGGAGTGGCCTTGCTCCCAGGTGCCTGCTGCAGCCGATGCAGGCTGTGTGCACAGACAGTGTGCATGGTGGAGAAGAAGCATGAGGAATGCAATGAAGCAAGCTTCCTTTGGCTTTTCTGGTTTTGAGGCTAAAGTAAGCTCTTAATTCACGTGGTTCCCACTCCCAGCCCAGAGGCCTGGACCCCGACCCGGGAGACGGCTTCAGTCGGTCTGGGTGGGGTCAGGCACCTATAGGTTGTCAAAGCTCCCCACATGAATCTGACCGTAGCCAGGGCCAAGAACCGCTGTCTCGATCCTTGAACCAAAGTGCTGGCTGAGCCTGGCTCCCGGTAGTGCGGTGTAGCTTAGAGAATGTTAGCCGACTGATTACTCCACCTGGGGAAGAGTCAGTAACTCTGTTTAAACAAAAGGATACCCAGGAAGGGTGATGCACTTGAAGTCTTCATCCTAGGGGACATTAATGCTCTTCCCTAGTGATCGGATGTCACTGAGGGAGATCTTGGAGCATCAGTGGGAAGGGCTTCAGGGCCTGGCTGGGCCAAGCCCCATAATTGGTGGACAAGGGCACTGAGGCCCTGTGGTGCAGAGCTGTAACCGAAACCCAGGCCTCTTGACCCCATGCCTCTCTCCTCCCTTACCTGGCTGGGGCTCCGGGGACGGAAAGTCAGCTAAGACCGGATCTGCTGCCGCTCTCCATTCCATTCCTTCCTTTTCTCCTTCCAGGCTGAGGAGCCGGAGGCCGGCAAGTCAGAGGCAGAAGATGACGAGGATGAGCTGGACGACTTGCCAAGTTCTCGCCGGCCATGGCGGGGCCCCATCTCTCGCAAGGCCAGCCAGACCAGTGTGTACCTGCAGGAGTGGGACATCCCCTTCGAGCAGGTGGAGCTGGGCGAGCCCATTGGGCAGGGTCGCTGGGGCCGGGTACACCGAGGCCGCTGGCATGGCGAGGTGGCCATCCGCCTGTTGGAGATGGATGGCCACAACCAGGACCACCTGAAGCTGTTTAAGAAAGAGGTGATGAACTACCGGCAGACGCGGCATGAGAACGTGGTGCTCTTCATGGGGGCCTGCATGAACCCGCCCCACTTGGCCATCATCACCAGGTAACCCAGCCCCTGGCCCTCACTGGGGTGGCCACCTCAGCCTCCCTCTTCCCCGGGGACCCTGTTATTTGTGAGGACTCCCTGGAGGGCGTGGATGTCTTAGTGTAGACAGGTACAAGGAAGAAAACCAAAAGTGAGGTATAATTTCCCCATGCACATAACCCCATTGACATTAAAAAATAGATAAATAGGGGTTGGCCCCGTGGCTTAGTGGTTAAGTTCAAGTGTTCTGCTTCAGCGGTCCGGGCTTCGCAGATTCAGTTCCTAGGCATGGACCTACACATTGCTCGTTAGGCCATGCTGTGGCGGCTTCCCACATACAAAATAGAGGAAGAGGGGCACAGATGTTAGCTCAGGGCCACTCTTCCTCAAACAAAAAAGGAAGATTGGCAACAGGTGTTAGCTCAGGCCCAATCTTCCTCACCAAAAAATAATAATAAAAATAGATTAATTAATTAATTAATTAATTAGATGTTGCCTCTCTAGTGAGAGAGAAAATTCAAATGTTCCAGAAAAGTACAAAGTGAAAACCACCCTGACTGGGTGCTCCTCCCCAAAGGTAGATACTGTAACCAGTGCCTGATTGTGCCTTCCGTTAAAATAAAAAAGTTTACCGATACTCATGTTTTTAAACTATTCATCTATTCCTTTGTAAAAATACACAGCAAAGATCATACTGGTTCACACCTTGCTTTCTTCACTTGAGTGCAGGTCTGAGGTCTACTGTGTTCTCTGTAACACCTGCCCAGCATCCCCATCACGTGGTTGAACCTAGTGGTGTGTTGGTAAATGTTTAACAACCAGCTCTCAGGTGATGGGGAAGAGAGCCCTTGTTTGTGGCATCTGTCAATTCCTGTGGTGTAAATACTCTCACTACAGTTGATTTCAAGCTACCGACATGATGTCACTGAGAGTGGAGTGGACTTGGGAAGAGAGTCACACAACTGGACTCTGGGTTCTTTGTCTGGCCGATCACTGGTCATCCTGATTTATTTAACTGGTCCTCTTTTGCTGGACGCTTTATAATGATGAACATCCTGTTTTCCATATGTTGGTGAGCTTCTGTGGGTGTATGAGCTGGGCTGGGTCAGGGTATGCGTATGTCACGTTGCATGTCCATTTCTACCCCAGAAAGTGTTCACCAGTTTCCTCTCCGACCGTTAGTGTATGAGAGTGTCATTCGCCCAGAGCACCAGGGGCTGCGAAACTGAAACGTTTTGGTTCATGGCCTTGAAAAAGTGGTTGTTGGGTGTTTACTTTTAAAATCAGGAAAAGCAATTTGAGGCTAGTGAAATTTTGGAATATAGGTGGAACTTTCAAGAAGAAAATAAAAATCACTTTAGTCCTGTCAGCCAAGAGAACCCTCATTAATGTTCTGATGGTATTCTCTATCGCTCGACCCTGTGCTTTGAAAAAACATTCTCCTCAAATGGTATTTACTAAGTGAGAGTTAATTCCCATGTTGCTTATTTATCAGCAAGATTAGTAACCGCCCCCCAGAACTCCTGAGCAATGTGAGATCAGGAGGTCACCCCACCAAAGGGACAATCTTCCAGCCCCAAGCATGACAACATGATGCTTTAGGAAGCCAGCTCCACGACCCCCAGGATGCCAGCCCCCAGCCGCTGTCTGTCCATCTGTCCTTCCATCTCTCGTCCACCCAGTTCCATAGGAGATTTGAGTCTGCTTAAAGGGAATACGTATGATAAAATAGCAAAACGTTCATTAACAAAAAACTTAGCGTGTTCTAGAATCTGCTGAGGGGACTGGAACATAGATAAGGAACCGTCAGCTGATGTCCCAGACCCCTCGCCCAGTTCTCAAAGTCTCTGAGGCTCCCAGAATATTATCTACTTGGAGACTTTCCCTAAAACTAGCCCCTTTCTCAGATGGTTTAGGTCACCTTCTCCCTGGAACGGGGAAGGAGCCACACATTCTCTCTGAGTCCTTCTTCACCCTGGCGTTAGGAGTTGATGCAGGTGGAGACCCCAAAACGTGAGCCCCTTATCCTATAATTGCTCTGATGTCCCGTCCCTTCCCCCTCCTTACGCTCCTCTTAATAGCAGTAAAATCCCTGTGATCAGAAAACAATAAAAACCATCACGAGAATCATTACAGCGAGCCCCGGGGCCCCGAGGTTGCCCGCTTGTAGCCCTGAAAGGCCAGATTCTTCCCTGAGTCCTAGGAGGTGTGTTGCTGCCTGGAACCCATGGAGGGTGGGCTGCTCTGGACTGCTGGGAGCCTTGGTGAACTGAGTTTCTTGTTCTGGGGAGGGCAGCCCTGGGCCTCAGGGAATGGGGTAGACATGCCTGTTTTTGCACATTCAGGACAGGCCCCAAAGGAATGGGCGTCAGGCTTGGTTAAGAATGAGATTCTGATGCCCATAGTCCAGGGGACGGGGAGAGCCTTCCAGAGGCCAGCGGGCACAGCTCCTCCCAGGCTCCAGGAGGGCTGGGATCCGGCCACACTGGCCCTGGAGCTCTGCCTGACCCCACCACTCTCGACAGCTTCTGCAAGGGGCGGACGTTGTACTCGTTTGTGAGGGACCCCAAGACGTCTCTGGACATCAACAAGACGAGGCAGATCGCTCAGGAGATCATCAAGGTAAAGGGGTGTCTTGTTGGTCCCAGAGCTCCTGGCTGTCCCCTTGCTCTGCCTGTGTCAGGGTGGTGGCCGCTGTCTATCTCCTTCTAGTTAGGACGCCTCGAGTGAGGGACGCCCTCTCTTTCCTTCTGTTCTTGTCTTGCCCTCTTGGGGCTGGGAGCTGGACAGTGGTCAGCGTTGATGGAATTGAATTGGTTGGAGAAGATGCAGCAGGCTTTAAATATCTGAGTGAATTCTGGTCAGCTGTGTGACTTTGGGCAGGTCGTTTCTCCTCTCTGAGCTTCAGCTTCTTCCCTTGTAAAGTGAGGATATCAATGGAACCTCCCTCACTGGATTGGTGCAAGGGATGATGGGATAATCACGGAGAGCCTTAGGCACAGGGCCAGCACTTGGTGACAGTCTGTTAGATTTGATGGGGAAGGCGGTTCTACTTCCGGGGGTCGTGAGAGCACCCCCACTTTCTGCCTTCAAGTTTCTGAATCCAAGTTTCAAGAGAACAGGCCCTCAGCCTCAACCAGGGCGGCCTTTTGTCTTTCTTTCATCTTTTTTACATAATTAAATAAAAATGCAAGAAAAGCTTATTAGTTGCTTTATTTAGCAACAGACAGGCCCAGATAAAAACTAGAATCCTGCTGGGTAGGGGTTCCTCTGTTTTTGTTGAAAAACTTTCTCTTAGCAGCTCCCACCAAGGTTTTGCCTCTTTCCTGTCTTTCTCTCCTTCCTTTTCTTCTGCCTTCGCTCCTTTTTTCTCCCTTCTTCCTCTGTCCATTTTGTGTATGTCTTTAGAAAGGAAAAGGTAAAAACATGATGACTTTTATGGACAAACCTAGATTTTCATGTGATATTTCCATGGAGCTAAACTAATGAATTGAACTTTTGAAGCCCCCAAAACCAAAATATCACCCTGGAGCCTTTGTTTGTAGTCGGTCTCATTTCAGAGAAGGTGGCGGGAGCTGCAGTGTCACAGCCAGTTCCCGGTATCCCCAAACTTGCCAGACCCTGCTCCCCCTCAGCCCCCTACTCTGCCTCCCCTCCCAGACTGTTTTCTCTCCTTGTCATCAGAACACTGGGGGAGTCTGTCTGGTTGCTGACTGGCTGAGTTAGGATGAATGAGCCATCTGGAAGTTTCCAGAGCGGAAGAGAAGTTACTCGAAGGTTTTGGAACTGCAGAGCCGGAAGCTGGCTTTTTTGGTTTTCATCCTGCTGAAAAGCCACGCCATTTCCTTCTGCTGAGAACTTCTGAGCCCCCCTCCCTTTTGTGCACATCTCTGATGTTTTGAGGCTCAAAATAAAATAACAGGGACCTGGCATTTGGTTTGCAATTTCGTGGCCACTCTGGGAACCCTGTGATAGTATGGGAAGGGAGGAGAGTCTGTGTTCTGGACCCGAGTGCTTTATATCTTGCCTCTCTTTAAGCTGGTGTATGAGGCTGTGACACCTATTTTATAAACAAGGCTCTGAAAGGTACAGCAACTTGTCCTCAGTCACACAGCTGGTCCCTGCTCAACCCAAGATGGGGTCTTTGGCTACTGAGGAAGGCTCGTGCCTTGGTTTGGTTTGGGAAAAGGGCAGATATTTTAAGAAGGATCGTCTTGCATTTAGGATGGAGTTTTGGGAAGGAGCAGGTCCCTCTTTCCTGAACTCCCTGCTTCCGTGGGAGGATGCCAGCTCTCAGCAGGCCCGAGGAAGTGGCCACCACGGACCCCGCACCCTCCCGTCTCTTGCAGAAGAGCATCTGCCTTGTGTAAATTCTTCTCTGACACTCTCCAAACCCACTCGGACCGAGCTCAGGCCTCGGCTGAGTTCCCTCTGGTTCTGGCTCACGGCTCATTCTTTCTACTTCCTAGATGTGGCCTGTTGTTTTCCTCTCTCTCCCTTACTCCACATTTCTCACGGTGCGTGAAGCATGCTCAACATGGGAGACCGGGAGGGGGGTTTACACGTGCCTCTTTCTGAGTTGGCAGGGTGGCCATTTCAGTTGTGGATCTCACCCCCATTCCCAGGGGCATCAGGGCATGCGGGAGTCCTGGGTCTGGCATTAGAAGACAGCCCTGACCTTGGCTGAGGTCATGCCTGCATCAGGTCACCCATGTCCCATACACCCAGCCAGTCAGTGGTCAGTCCAAATAGAGCATCAGTTAGAAATCACCAACCCCACCTTTCACTTGACAGGTGAGGAAACTGAGGCTCAGAAGTTGAGTGTCTAAGGCCACACCATGGATTAGAATCTGAGCTGAGATGGAACTAGGACCCCAGATTTCAGTCTCAGTCCAGGACTCCTTCAACCACAGCACAGATGTAGGGACCACCTAACCTCGGGGACTCACTCTGTGGGAAGTCCTCTTTGTTCCCCACCTGAACCCTTGCCCAGCCTGAGGGCAGAGGCCAGCTGGGCAGAGCATGACAGAGACCCCAGATCACTTGGGTCCTTTGTGAGTTAACACGGATGGTATTGGAGGGGTGGAAGAGCTATTCCTCTACCCTTGAGGTCCTTCTGGCTGGTCGAAGAATTAAATTGACATGAGACAGAATAACAGGAGAAAATCAAACAAAGTTTAATAACATGTATACACAGGAGAAATGCAGGAAAACTGAGTAACTTGCCAAAATGGCGGAAGCCACCACCTGAAATACCATCTTTAGTTAAAGACAAAGGAGGATATTGGGGGTGGTGGTTTGGGACTTTAAAGGGGAGGAAGGCAATTCACATGGAGATGGAAAAGCAAATATTCGATAAACTGATGTTTCTTGGGCCCTCGATAGACAACATGACTCGAGAGAGAGAACTTTGATGAAAAGGGGCCTACCAAGGACCCTCCCAGTTTACCACACCCAGAGTTGCCCATAGTGGTGGCCTGTCCTCGGAAAGGCCTTCTAGCTTGAATTCTTTTAGGCAGTTAGAGGGAAGGTCAGAGTTTCTCTCCAAGTCTTTTGTTCTTAAAAATAATCAAGCCAAAGGGACACATTTTGGGATGGCAAATTCTGATCCCCCACAGTATCATTCCCCACCCCCACCCCCTAGCTCCCCATCCATCACCCTCTCCACACCTTGCACCTTATCCAAGTATAAGGTGGATGTTGGACAGCATGGTGACATGGAAAGAGCATGGACTTGACTGGAACCGGATCTCAGCGATGCTACTTAACTGCCGTGTGGCCTGGGGCAAGTGATTGCCCTCTCTGAGGCTTGGTTTCCTCATCTGCAAGATGGAGTCAGTTATGCTGCATAGGATTGTGAAGATGAAATGAGGGGATCTGGGTAAGGGATCCAGCTCAGCGCCCGGCCCAGGGAGGAAGCTAAGTCATCATCCCTCCCTTCCCTCCCCACTGACTGAGGCTCGCTGCCTTCCAGGGCATGGGGTATCTACATGCCAAGGGCATCGTGCACAAAGATCTCAAGTCCAAGAACGTCTTCTACGACAATGGCAAAGTGGTCATCACAGACTTCGGGCTGTTCGGGATCTCGGGCGTGGTCCGAGAAGGACGGTGAGTTGGCCATGGGTGTGTGGATGGACTAGGGAGGAACTGGGCGGTGCTGGTTGGGCCTGAGGTCCCCCTGAGGTCTGGGCGCTCTTGCTGTCTGTTGCTGAGGAGCAGCTCTCCCTGTAGGAAAGGCCAGGTTTACTTTGTCCTGCCCTTGTGGTCCTGGTCCAGAATCTGGTTTGGGTAATGTTTTGGTCCTTCATAGCAGTTGGTTCTCGGACTGGCCCCCATGGAGGCTGGGTCCCCTCACTGGCATTTTCCTTGTGTGCTCGCTGACCTGGGCAGGGGACCAGGGTTCACATCCCCATTATGAGGAAGAGCATCACGGTTTTATTTCCCCAAATCTTGAAGGAATGGGGAGAAACGCTCCTCCCCAAGCATCTTGGGCACCCCCAGAAGGGAGAGTGGCAGGCAGGCTGGAGAGCCAGCCCCAGGCCAGGTGGTGAGGTCCACAGGCAGATCGTTTCCTGCATAGAGACATACTCCGCTCTCCCAGGGTAGAGAATCAGGCACCTGCAAGTGCAGCTCCCTGCCGAGACCCGTTCTTGGCCTGCTTGCCTGGAAGAACCTGGTTACCACTCTGCTGTAATATTCCCCAAAAGCACCAGGGCCTTTGCAAGGGCGGGCTCAGTGTACTGCTTTTCTGGGCCATGTGTGGGTGGTGTGCCAGCCCTGGGCCAGGTGTGTGCCGGCCCTGGGGCAGGTGTCTGCCAGGCGGGGCTCTTTGCTGCTGGCTGAAGGCCTCCTGTCCTTGCCCTGGCTTCTTGGCCTCCAGGCGTGAGAACCAGCTGAAGCTGTCACATGACTGGCTGTGCTACCTGGCCCCTGAGATCGTGCGCGAGATGACGCCCGGGAAAGACGAGGATCAGCTGCCATTTTCCAAAGCTGCTGACGTCTATGCATTTGGGTGAGGAGGCCCCTGGCGTCCCTCTTCTTGGGGCTCTTGAGGCCAAGTGTGGCCAAAAGAGAAGGTCCTGCTGGCCACTGGGGGCAGGGGGAGGTGTACTTTGAGTCCTGGCTCTGCCACTTGTTTGGGTGAGTGACCACGTCCTTGACCTTCTGTTTCGGTATCTGTAAATGGGAATAATGGTACCTTCCCAATGGAGTTGTTTCATGAGGACTGAATTAGGTAATTGTATAAAGTGCTTAACTCTGGGTGTCAGTCTCACCCATCGCCCCGTGAGGACGCTCACCAGAGCTAACCAAGGACTGTCCCTCTGGGAGAATGGAGAGTCCTGCCACTCAGCCTCTAGTGCCCTTAAGGAGCTGACCAATGGAAAAATAGAAATCTAATATGAGCTGGATATATAAAGTTTTCTCTTAGCCATGTTAAAAAAAAGAAAAACAGGTGAAACCAGTTTTAATAATATATTTTGTTTAACTCAATATACCCAAAATATTATCATTTCAACGTGTAATCAAAATAAAAAATTAGGGAGATAATTTACCTTACAAAGTTTCGGAATCTGGTGTGTATCACCTCAGTTCCATGGTCCGCGTTTCAGTTGCTCGGTAGCCCCACATGGCCCAGAGCATCCTCTGTGTTGCACAGTATGAGTCTCATGGAGAAGGTGCCGTCTGGATAAATCAAGAAAGGCCAGGGGGCTTGGCGAGGCTGAGTGAGGGCTGCACCCTGTTACCTCTCAGGGCCTCTTTCCCTCAGGGGTGGTCTCGTCCTCCCTGACCCTTAGCTGTCATCTCCTAAGCACCCATGTGTGCCAGGCGCCAGACTCGGCATTTCCGTTACTCCTCAGACAGGCTGGGATGGAGGTGTCAGCCTCACTGAGGTTAAACAGTCGTACCAGGATCTCTGTTCAGAGCCTCTGCTGCCCAGGACTTTCCACCATGGTGGGAGGGCGGGCGTGAGCTGGGACCGAGCCAAGCAGAGCCGCATGGAGCTCACGCCGCGTGGGTGGTCTCCACAGGACTGTTTGGTATGAGCTGCAAGCAAGAGACTGGCCCTTTAAGAACCAAGCGGCAGAGGCCTTGATCTGGCAGATTGGCAGTGGAGAGGGAATGAAGCGTGTCCTGGCCTCCGTCAGCCTGGGGAAGGAAGTCACCGTGAGTAGCCACCTGCTCTCAGAAAGAGAAGTGGGACTAAGGGAGGAGCCCCAGGCACGTGACCGTGGCTTCCTCACATGACATTCACTCACCTGAGAAGTGGGACCCAGAGGCAGATGAGTGTCAAGCAGACCTGTTTACTGTTGGCTAAAAGCCCTGTGTCTTTTATCACCCCCACTGTTAACCTTTTTCTTTAAAAAAAACCCCATTATCTTAAAAAAAAAAAAAGTAGGAACTAAAGATAAGAGATGAAAAGATAGTAAATAGTAAAACCCTGTATGTTACTACCATGAAAGAAGAAAATAAGAAATAGTCAGTGCACAAGGGACAGACGGTGGGATTATGGCGGTATCAGATCTTTCTCCTTAATGTTTTTCCCAACTGTTCAAGAACAAATCGAAGTTCCCGCAGCAAATTTGTTTTCAAAGTGCCAAATTGTAATCCAGTTGCTGACCTCACGTTACCAAATGCCTGTCATGGTTTCTCTGCTTTGCAATTTGTGCGTTTCCTTGCCTGGGCACAGTGACGTATAAAGGAAGCGGGCGTCCGTGTTTTCAGTGCCATCGGTGATAACCATGTGTTATCGCAAAGGACTGGAGCACACAGGTGCCAGCCTGGATGTTAATAAGTAGCCCCAGGAGGTGTCTGGGCTGCGTGACGATGGAAGCACCTGGAGGGACCACCCGGCACGTGCCCCAGTCAAGCGCTAACTAGGCTCTGAGTTTCTTGTTGACGACATGAACAGCGTTGGCAGGGTCACCATCTGCCCTGTCATAGGGCACTTTCTGCCTGGTCTCGTGTGCCGGCCTGTTTTCTCACAGGGAGTTCTCATGAATCGAGAGGCTGAAGGGGTGTGCTGTGTATAGGCGCGCATTCTGAGAGCAGGCAGCAAAATGCCAGAGTGAGAGGGGCTTTCCTCTGGGGGCAGTCGGGACAGCTGTTCTGCTGACCCTCAACTACTGCCCTGTGTCTGGTCCTCCTTGTCACTCCAGCCTCCATTCTTGTAGCGCTGAGCCCTCCACCTCCGTTGCAGCCCCATCCTGCACACATTCTGAGCATCTTGCATTGCACCTGTCAACATGCCGCCTTCCTCTTTCCGTTCCAAAAATCAACGACCTCATTTCTGATTCTTTCCTATTGCCTGTTTGTTCAGCTTTCTTACTGTTATTCCAGGGGGTTCTAAGAAGGAAGGAGGGGAGACAGGCTCATGCACTTCATTTTGAACTGGGAGCATGCGAGCCCTTGTGCAAGTCAGTTATTTCTCAGCCCACCTCCAGCAGTGGCCAGTTATCTCAATGTCGGCAGGATGATCACGGGACCACCAGCTAGGGGTACTTGAAAGCCCTGAAGGGACCCTGTGCAGAGCACCCCAGCTGTGCCCTCCTCCCTTCCCGCCAGCTCTCACGCCCACTAATGCCGGCTCTGTTTGCAGGAGATCCTGTCTGCCTGCTGGGCTTTCGACCTGCAGGAGAGGCCCAGCTTCACCCAGCTGATGGACATGCTGGAGAGACTGCCCAAGCTCAACCGGCGGCTCTCCCACCCTGGACACTTCTGGAAATCTGCTGAGTAAGTACCCCCTCGGTCAGCCAAACCTGTCAGCCAAGCATCCTAGAGGGCACCGTGTGCTCTGTCTGCCCAGGACTGTGATCTGGGGACTCCCAAAGAAGATTAGCCAGGGGTGACTAGTCCCCTCACCTAAGTGATGCTAGGATTTCATTCACCGCGTTTATTTTGGAGATTCCCTTTGATAGGCCAGCATCTCTGGTTCTCCTCTATGAAAAGCTCCACATCGCTGTTATCAGACCAGTGCTGACACTGAGCCCAGGCTAGGCCCAGACAAGAAGAGTCTGCCTAGGAAGGGGCAGACGGAGCCAGCTGGAAGTCAGAGCAGCGTGGGTCCAGAGCATCACCAGAATCAGCAGGGTGGCTATTGCTAGGATGACACAGACTCAAGGCGCAGAGCTCTCTAGCCCCTAAACCAGCCATCTGTTTGGGGGACCACATGACCTAGGTTTATGTGGTGCTTCGATGCTAGAATCATCCCGCTTCTGTTTAATGACATGATCCTTTGCACCCCTTGGTGCAGGGGTGGTCTCCACGGAGACCACTGTCGTCTCTTCTAAGTTCTGTCTCACTCCCTTTTTGCTTTGTCTATGTGGCCCCCTTTGCCAGAACCCTCGAAAAACAGACCTCTGCCCTGCCGTGCACGCTTCGTGAGAATCTGGGGACTCCTTCCTTATTCTGGGCCTCAGTTTCCACAGTTTTAAAAAGCAGGAATTGGGCAAGATCAGACGTGGGCGAACTTGTCAAGGGCCACTTGGGAAATATTTAGGCTTCGTGGGCCAGAAGGGAAACTCGAGTTACAGCTCCCATCACTGGTATTTACAATGTGCCCAGCAGCAGTGCCAGGCGATGACGCCACCCCGTACCGTCTGTCACAGACTCAGCTCTGTCTGGTACGGGAGCAGCCATAGACAACACGAGAACCGGGGGCTGGCTGGGCACCGGTGACTTTATTTATGGATGCTGAAACTTGCATTTCACATAATTCTCACGTGTCACGAAATACTCTTTTTTCTTTCCCTTCCAACCATTTAGAAAGGTAAAAACCATTCTTAGTTTGCATACAGAAACAGGTGGTGGGCCATATGCAGCAGGACCCCTGGATGAGATGAATGATTTGAAAGTTTTTTTAAGGCAAAGGGCACTTTCTGAAAGTGAGATCTCATACAGGGCCCCAGTGCATAAACAGATAAAGTGGGGTGGCTCTTGATGGGAGCGGGGGGCAAGGGCCTGTCTACCCCCGCAACACCCAAGCTAGTCCCTGAAGCAGCCAGTCACCATGCACGTGTGTGGGGACACCTGCCGTTGCATCACTGAGCCCTGGAGAAGCTGTGCCCGGCCCCACACCTGCTGCCCAGATGTGTGGTGGCAGCAGCACGCCTCCTATTCTAGAAAGGACCACATAGCAAATATTTTAGGCTTGTGGGTCGTATGGTCTCTGTCACATGTTCATTTTTTGTTTTGTTTTTTTTAACCCTATAAATGGTCAAAACCATTCTGTGGCCGAATTTAGCTTACACATATTTGCCAGCCCCTGTTTTGAAAACAAACCAAACCGGCCTTCAAGCTACATGTGAAAGAGAGGCCCGGCATGGGTTGCCCGACCAGAGGATGCAAATAGGAGAACTTGGGGAGGAAACGTGGGAGACTTTCCTGATGTAGGCCAGCTTCACAGACGGTCTGGCGGAATGACAGTCTGAGGCTGGGAATACTGTAACTTACAGGGCAATATTGGATTCAATATTTTGCTCTTAAGATGGGTCAGAGTCCAGTACAAACAGACGGTGACAGAAGGCTGCCGGCAGAGGTGTGGGTTTCACCAACCATTGCTGAGAACGTGGGGAGACAGAAGCCCAAGGCTGGGCCTGGCCAGCACGGGGTTTACAGTTGAGTAGAGGAAGGAGTGAGGGAATGTTGACAACGTGCGGAGCACTGTGAAAAAGCACAGCCTCTGTGGGAGGGAGGATGGGGGCTGCTCTGCTGGCCCAGGGAGCTTGAGGCAGGGCCTCCAGACCAGCAGTCAGTGGAGCTGGGCTTTGAGCAGGAGCTGTCCTGGCAGAGACCGGGAGTGGGTTCTCCTGGACTTGCAAGAAGTTCAAGGGTCTGGTTTGTCAGACTTTGGGCAACCCTGATTTTCTCATCCACGAAAGAGAAGGCTGCTCTAGGGGGCGCTGGCTTTCAACAGGTGTTTCCAGATTCCCTTAAAGACCAGATAGCTCCACCTTCTCATTTCACAGATGGGAAACTGAGTCACAAATGGAGCTTGTGTCCTGCCCAAAGCGATCAGTTTTAGCCCCTTGCAGCAAAGAATGCCAGACTACCTGAATGAGTGTCTGTTGAAAGCTTCCTGTTCCTGATTTTTACTTGTACACATTCAGCCTCTAATTCTCATTTTCTCTTTTCTTTTCCATCGGTCGTGTTGCTTTTTTATTTTCGGGGGGTGGTGCCTGCGCTGGCTTGTCCTATCACACCCCCCCCCCCGCCATCTTGATTCCTGTGGCTCCTCCTCCACCTGTCTGCACCGGGTGCCTGACTCCGTCACCTGCTGGACTGCGCTCTGCCCACACCTGGCAAAATGGTCGCGGGGCATTCCCAGGCGCTGGCGGAGCCGCTGCTACGGGAAAGGACGTTACGGTCACCTTGACTTTAAGAACTATCCAGTTCTGGAGGAATAGTGTGTCTTCTGTTACTTCCCTCATTCTCTGCCTGTTTACGGTCATCCCTTTGCACACCCTGCTTCCTGTCTGTCTCTGCATCCAGCTTCCCCATCTTTGCGTATTTTATTCTCTGTAAACCAAAGTGACGTTCGTACAGCTGAAACGGCCACCAGCAAGGGCCCTGCAGGCTTGTGTTTCTCTCGCTGGGTGGAGGGGAGACCCACAGCATGTGGCAGGGCCTCTGTCCACACACCGTGGCAGATGATGGCTTGTCCCTGGCGGGGAGGGAACTCAGATCACTGGTCTGAGTCCCTAGTGTGTCCTCTGGCCAAAGCTTAAAGAAGGGAAGGCAATAAGCAGAAATAGTGAACTTCCAGAAGTCTGTTTGGATAGTCAAGGGCTGAGCGGCAGTGGGCTTTGTAGAAACATTCTGTGCCTGTGGCCTGGGGTTGCTCAGGATGGAGCGAGGCTGTCCCTTTCCGTCCCTGCAGGAAAAGAGGGTGTCCCCCTCTCTGCCCTGGCCAGGTCTCTGCTGCTCCCCTGCCCCTGTGGGCTCAGGGGGAGGGGCAGGGGGGGTTCTGACTCTGTGCTCTCCTCTTCTCTTTTCCCCTGTAGGTTGTAGACCTGGCTGCCTTGCATGCCCCGGGGGCTTTCTTCCTCCTAATCAACAAGTGGCATCGTGACTTCCTCTCAGACACAAACTGAGATGCGAGCACTAACCCGGGGACGCACTCTCTGCCGCTCCAGTCTTCTCTCCTGAGACTGCTGCTCTTGCTTAGTTGTTAAAACTGGCCCCTCCCCTCTCCAGGCCTGCGCGTGCCCGTCACTGCTCTCCACGGAGGATTCCTCTAACAGACCTCCCCCAGAACTGTCTCCCTGGACGTGACTTCATTCTCTCTAGCTCTTCTCTGGTGGGGTGGTATCGTTTCCCTTTGGGTGGTCCTGTCTGCCTGCTAACACCTCAGTGAGCTGTACCCCTCTGAGCACAGCGGCCTCTGGCTGGCTGTGTCCTCCGTCTGGGGCAGGGCTGCTTGGCTGTTAACCTATGGGGATCTTGTCCCACAAGGAGTGGAATGATTTCAGAGCTGCCCAGGGCCAGTCCCCTCTGGAGGACTTTTGGGTAGACCCCAAAAGTCCCGTTGCTGTGAAAGACACCAGCTTGGAAGGGCTGTGTCCTCAGCGGTGCACTCAGGAAAGTCATCCTGAAGCAAAGGGCTCCCTGTCCCCAGACAATTTCACTAAAGAAAACAAAGCATCCATCCCCTTCCCCAGCAGCATTACTCCCTTCACATCTGCTCAGTGTGGACAGAAAGTTCCAGACCCCAAGTCAGCGTTCGTCCAGAGCGTAGCTGACAGGCCACACACACAGTCACTGCACTGCTTACTAAATGCAGATTCCTGGGGCCCCCAAGAACCAAGTCTGGGTCTCCAGAGGCAAGCTCTGAGAATCTGCATTTCCACCTGCCTCCAGATGGCCCTGATGCACCCCAGCGTTTGGGAACCATTTCTAAAAGGAGCATGCGATGTCTCTCTTGGTCCTGGGGGCAGGTCTCTCGCTTCTCTCCCACTTCCACCTGGAGCAAGACCTTTCCTGGGCTGCAAATGAGAAAGCAGTTCAGACGAGCCCACAGCAGTTACTGGGCATGCTGGCTGCTGGGGATTCTGGGATGAACAAGCCACTGCCTGGAAGGGCGGGGCGGGGTGGGGGCCAAGCCTCCTCCGCACTAAGCTTTAGGCCCCTCCTGGCTAAGTATGACCAGGAGTGGCTCTGCCGAGGCTGTGGGCTGTGCAATCATTCTCACTTCTTAGTGGGGCCAGGTCCTCTGCTGAGCTTCTGGAACTGGCCCACTCCTTAGCTAACGTTACCCTAATTCTGATTAAGACCAGCAAGGCTGTAACCCTTGTTTTTATTCCTCTTTGCAGCATTAACAGCAGCAAAGTTGTACCCCGGTTTGAAAGGTTTGGCTTGGGCGTCCTGGAGGCCAGTAATCCAAAGATGTAGCCAGATGGTGCAGTTTTTCTGCCGATGTCTTTCTTAAATGTGTTTCTAAAACATCCAAAAACCACCACCACAACAAAAAAACAACATTCTTCGAAACGTCAGCCATCCTTCTAAGTGCTGCAGACCAGGAGCACTGGGTCCTTCATTCAGACTATTTGTCCACGGAAACACTCAGGTCCCGGAGATGGAGCTGCACCTGCTGTTTCTTAAAGTGACATCACCAACAACCAGACCTGTCCTGACAGGCAGCGAATGTTTACATGTGTATTTCTGCGGAGTGAGCTCGATGTTTTACGATAGGTAATAAGAACGTTCTGTGCCGAGGTGCACTGGCACCGTCGGCCAGGGTGGCAGAAGTGGCTGTCCCTTCTGGAAGACCCTGTAGGCAGTGAGGAGCTCACGCTGGGCCAGAAGGAAGAAAAGCATCCTGATTGTGGCTGCTCTCGGGGAGGATGGGAGGACTACAAGGTTTGACCCGGCCTCTGCTTTGGCCCCAAACCCTGTTAGTAGGGAATCTCCCTCTGTAGGGTGCGCCCCTTGTCCTATCAAGGGACACTATACTTTCCTCCTCTTGACAAGGAAACCCTGGCTAGGAACAGAGCTGGATTATGAGCATCGGGAGTTCCCTCTTGGGTTCTTTGGGAACCCAGGCTCCCAGAGAGCTTGGTTTCACCTCTGACCCCTGCAGTCCAGCCCATACCTGCTGCAAAAGTAGATGCCAATAAAATCCAAATAACATCTGTACCGATCCAGTGGTTCCTAGTCAGGGTTCCCACTGCCTGGAGAGACGTTTCCTGCATGAAGCCCCCAGGAAGGCACCAAGGGCTTGGGACTCGGGGCCTTGGCTTTTTAGACACATCCCAGCCCCTGACTGACATTTCACAGCAACTGTGTATACCGTGAATGCTTGATTGGTGAGAACAAGGAAGGCATGAGGAGGGAGAAGTAGCAGGCAGCGAGTCCCTGCGCCCACCTTCCCAGCCACAGGGTGACCTGGCCCTTGAGGTTCCCATCCTCAGTCATGCCAAGGTTTTGGAACTGCCCACCTCTTCCACTCCCCCAGTCCTATTGGAACCCCTTAGCCCACTCTGCCACTATCCGTGTTCCGTGCTCTTAGCTGAGATGGGAGGCATGGGTCCCCCACCCCATTTGTTTAGATGCACCTAGCCAGCCCACCGATCTTCAGAGCCTTCCCAAGCACCAAGTTAGGCCTTCTACTTGTGTACGTTTGCACCAGGAGGGGCTAGACCAGGAAAGTCCATGATGAGAGCATGTCATGTCCTGCCTGTCTTCAGTAGAAGCTGTCGCCTAAAGAGAAAAGTTCCAAATGGCAAAGCAGCCCTTTGGTGGACGTTGTCATTATTAGGCTGCAAACCCAGAAGTGATAAAGGGTGATGAGAATGGAGATATGGGTTGGGTTCAGACCCAGAACCTCTGTCTGTGCTCTGAGCTAAGATGGGAAAGCATGTGGCCCTCCCACCCCTTTCAGTTCACTCCACCTAGCAAAGCCCCCAGTCTTCAGAGCCTTCCCTGGAGTCTGGCCAAAGCTCCTCTGCCTAGAAGCTGTGGGACCGCCTTCCCGTCTCCAGGCCAGGGACCCCTTGGCCAACTCCTGCTTGGAGAGAGAGCTTTGAGCAGCCAGCGCAAGGTACCCAGGCCTCCTGCTGCCCGTTGGCACCTTAACCCTTTGCAGTCAGGCTGTGGGGGGAAGACAGGAGCTGTACACCAGCTGGATCTTTTCTCCTCTGCGGGACTAATTGGCTCCATCATCCCTTTGGTCTCCCTCTGAGTCCTCTATGGGATCTCTCCGACCCAAAGCCACATGGTGTGTGACCTCTGCCTCTGGCTAAGTCAGGCTCCTGCCCAGATGCCCGTGCCTTCCCAGAGGTCACAGCTTGTGCATGTTGGGGCCCTTCACCTTTCCCCTCTGAACCCATGGACATGCCGATGAGCCCAGGGGTTGCACGGCAGCCGAGCAAGTCGGGCTCAACCCCTCCCTGGCCCCAACTCACAGCCAAAGGAAAGTCATCTGGGTTTTGTTTTTCTTATGTCACGCACTGGTCAGTTCAAGCAGCTTTCGTCGAACACCGGCATGTCTTGTGCAAGTGCTGGGGGCCTGGCAATGGGAGCAGTCACGGTCCCCACTCTTAAGGAGCTGATGTTCTAACGGAGGAGACTTGATGTCTGCCAGGAACCCCGAGGGTGGAGCTGAAGGACTGGGGGACACCATCCTTTCTCTCCAGGCCCTGGTAGCCTCCTGACTCTTGCCCTGAGCCTCGGTACTGCCTGTCACATAAGAGAAACGCCTGAGGAAAGTCCCCCACATGGTCCTCTTCTCCTTCCCTCTGTCTGAGTGACTGTGAATTGAGGTTAGGACCTGCTTGCCCTTCCTTCCATGTGCTCTCCCCGTCTGCCCTGGAAACACATGAAGGACGGCAGATACTGTGAATTCAGCCCTCACAGCCCACTGTGAAGGGGATGGATAAGCTGGGAGGGCCCCTGGTGAGAGATCTGGGGGCTGTGGAGGTCCCCACTGGGGCCTGAGAGTGGACCCAAGCCTTGGTCCTTCAGGGCCCCCCAGTTCCCAGCCTCACCTCCAAAGCTCTAGGGTCTGTGTCGCTGCTGCCTGTAGCCCACTGATCCACAGCCCCCTGGTCTCCATCCAACTCAAGGTCTCCAGTCCTAGCGAGTTCCCAGTTAGTTGTGAGCAATGTTTTGCAAAGTTGACCTCTCCGTGTCACCAAACGAAAGATGTGTGTGGGGCCCTGCAATCCCTCTGCCCTCCCATGGCATTTCTTGTGATGACAGAGGGGAGGGGCGCGCCCCGTATGCCTGTGCTGGTGGTCTGTATTGATTTGGGGGGCGGGTGGAGACGTAAATGTGAAGCCGATTAGGGAGCTAGTGCGATGCTGCATCGTTAGCCAGGACTTCATCAGTGTGTGCAAACCCAGCGTCTTCTGTGGCCACGAGACACACACTTGCTTTTTTGAATGTGATGTAAAATTTGTACAGTAAAAGTTTTTATATTTTCTATTAATTGCATTTGTCTTCCAGAAATGCTATTAATTTAAATTAAAATGGTTAGTATTAACGAACGTGCTGTATCCGGGTTTTTTTTTTGCCACTAGCAAGAACACATGCTCTGTGCCGAGCCAAGCCTGGGTGTCTGGAGTTTGTGACTAAAGTTGTACCAGGGTGTCCTGGGGCTCAGGTCTGCTTGGGTCAGTTCCAGGTGAATTTGGGGGACCCCACCGATGGATGGCATGGGAGGACAGGAATGGAGGGGTCAGGGATGTTTGGACTCTCTCTAGGGGTTAAGGAGCTCCTCCAAAGAAAGGAGTTATGCATGGACCTCTGAGGCAGATGTTTCTAAACAGATGGAGGAATGGAGGAGGAACAGCATCAAAGGGCCATGGTGCACAGAGGAGGGTCATGTAGCCCCCAACAGTAATAGCGCCCGCAAACAGACCCAGAACTGAAAGTGCCTTTGCCTTCTGGAAGCCTTAGGGGGAGCTGGAGTGGTCATTTAACTAAATCTTATTTCTGGGAGCCTCTCCCTGCCCGTTACGTAGAGAGAGGTACTTTGGAGGTTGGGATAAGCAGAACAGATGGAGGAGAAGGGGAAGCAACATTTGTGGGTCCCTGCTGTGAGCCAGGAAGGTGCTCTCTATACATTATCTCACCCTAATCTCATCCTCACAACAACCCCAGGAGGTAGGGATTGTGGTGAGGAAACTGAGGCACGGAAAGGTTCTGGTATTCACCCAAGATCATGTAGCTGGTGGGTGGCTAGTCCTGGACACAGGCCACAGCTTTGACTCCAGAACCTCCCTCTCATCCGAAGTCCAGGAACTTACCCATCAGACATTGACTGAGCACCTGCTGTGTTCAAAAGATGGTGCTAAGTGCTGGGACACATGAAAAGGGAGCACCCTTGCCTTCAGCCGTGAGCCAGTGAGTGGCCCAAAGAAGGGGTCCCTCGGTCTACCGGGCAGGCTTCGTGGAAGAGGTGGCCTTCAAGGTGACTTGGAGGTGAGTAATATGGTGCTTGTAAGCAAGGGGAGGGCCTTCTATCCCGCAGGAATGGCATATGCAAAGGCCCAGAGGTCTGGGGAGACATGGTGTGCTTGGGAAACAATGTGTATTTCAGTGTTAGAAACAGCTATTATAAAGAGGTAGACCTGTTTCCCAGGGTCCCTTGCAGTTGGGTGAGAGCATGGGACTGAGACTTATCCAGTGGAAAGTGGGTACCCCGCCCGTAAAAGCCTCCCACAAGCACATCTCTCCCTTTTGGCTGGCTGGAGTGGAGACCCTCAAGGGCGACTTTGGAAGCCGCACGTGGAGGATGGCAGCATCTTAGTCCAGGTTTCTGAATGTGGAGGAGGCTGCCCTGCCCACCTGCCACACCTGCCCGGGACTGATATGTGAGCAAGAAGAAGACCACTGGGTGTGAGCCACTCTGCATTTTGGGGTCTATTGTAGTCGGCCTACATGGAAATTATATTATTTGGTAATTGTAATAATGAGCAAATATTCTGGACTTTGTGCTGATCATAAGACAGACGTCTGATTTAATCCTTATATTAATTCTAGGAGGTAGGTGTTATTATTACCCTGTTTTATAGCTGAAGAGACAGGCCCAGAGAAGTTATATCACTTGCCCAAGGTCCTAGAGCTAATAAGTAGCAGAGGCAGGATTCAAACCCAGACTGACCTGACCCTAATACCTGGTGTCGTCAAAATTTTCTACTTTATTAGATATTTTTACGTTAGAAAAATCATTCAGGTCCATTGAGATGTCAAAAATTACAGAAATGACAGGAAAAATGTTAATAACCTTCACTTATCACCCCCTGCCTCCCCGCCGCTGCAATATGTACCTTCTTCTAATTCCTGTCCGGAGATAAACAGTTTTAAACTCAGAAACTTAACTTCTCGTCTCTCTCTCCTGCATATAAATGTGGCTTTGGGTTTGTGGTTGTTTCCTCAAACAACTACATCACATATATGATATATATGACATATGATATATATGTATATCATACGATGCAACATCATGTATATCATATTTTTTCATGAAGCTTGTTTGTCAATGTATCAGGGCCAGCCCTCCCCGTCCACACGTGTAGATCTAATTCACTCTAATAGCTGCACGATAGCCCATAGTATACATAGTCCATAGTTTGTGTAGCTGGTGCCCTGTGGATGGACACTGCCCCAGACCTCTGAGAAACACTTTTCATTGAGATCATCTGCTTAACTGCTGTGCCCCTTAACTGGCCCCGTCTCCACCCCCATATCCTCCGTGCATGTATCAAGGCCCAGGAAGACCGAGGGCGAGGGCGGGCAGTTGGTGTTTCCATCCCAGCGGCCCCGCCTGGTCAGACTCTGCGCTCCTGCTGCTCTGCGTCTTCAGCTGTGCTCTGTTCTGTCTCTTCCTCCTCGTCTGACCAAGCTGAAGACCCTTCCTTCCTCCCTCCCTCCTTTCCTCCCTCCCTCCCTCCCTCCCTCCTCCCAGGGCGCTCTGTGCCCTACGCCAGACCTGCCCAAGGTCTCATAAGAAAAAAGACAAAGGGAACTGCATCCACCAACATTGGCATAGCACTTCTTAAATTTACTTGACATGCAGTGTCTCATCTTTTCCTTTCAAGAGCCCCATGCCACAGGAGTTCTCTCTGTTTCCAGCTGAGGATGCTGAAGTTTAAAGAGGTTGATTGGCCTATGCTCACAAGTGAGCACCAGAGTCAGAGGTGCTGTTACCAAATCAGGTTCGGTTTTGTTTTGTTCTGTTCTGTTTGCTGAGGAAGATTCACTCAGAGCTGACATCTGTTCTCGGTCTTCCTCTATTTTGTATGTGAGCCGCCATCACAGTTCAGATAGATGAGTGGTGTATGTCTGTGCCCAGGAACCGAACCTGGGCCACTGAAGCGGAGCATGCCAAATTTAACCACTAGGCCATTGGGGCTGGCCCAATCAGGTTCGGTTTTGCCCCTTGCCTGGAAAGGTAATCACCAAGAGGGTGAGACTGCAGCAGAAAGAGGGTTTTAATCTCAAGGCAGCCCCAGTGAGGAAGCAGGAGAACAAGTTTCGAGTCCACTTCCTTAAAATGGGGACTCAGGTATATTTATAGGGTAGAGGGGCAAAGTGGTCTGAAGTGTGGAGATAGATGATTGGAGGTGAGGAGAGGTGAGGTAATTGATGATCTGTGCAAGTGTAATCAGACTCCATGCCTCTTCACAGGACGCATGCTCCTATGTGTGCTATGCACAAAATGGCAGCCTTGGCATGAACTGAGGGTGGAGTTTTTGGCCTCTTAACATCAAAAGGTCACTATCGAACATCTGTGCGGGCCCAGTTGGTGGGTTGTTGGTCCCAGCTGGCCTGAACTGGACAAGGGGGTCTAATTCCTGAAAAACAGCTCACACACCCATTACCATGGAGACCCAGGTGCCAGGGAGGTGTTATCCACAGGAGCCAGTGGGAGTCAGATATCATATTGCCTAAGCAGCACAGTTAACAATGGGTGGGGACCAACTTAAAGCTAAAATCAGTCATTGCAAAAAAGAAAAAAATCTTTAGATACTAGCTACCCAATCATCAACGGCTGGTACTGGTTTCAGGACCGTCTCGGGCTTGTGCGGAGGAGCCGGCTACTGTCTGTTCTCAGACGCCGCTGTGGTCTGGAGTGAAACCTGCTTTGCTAATGTTGCTTCCCTGGGCGACTGTCAGCTTCCTGTGGTCCCGCACTTCCCCTTCTGTAACAGGACCCCTGCGGGGAAGTGCCCTCCCCTGGTCTTGGGACACTCAGCCTTCGCACTTCCCCCAGCTCAGAGGACCTGCTGGTGTGTTTTGTTTGGCCTGCAGAGTTGAAGAAATATATTTTTAAATTGGTTGCTGTCAACCTGCAAAAACAGAAACCAGTTTAAGAGGCAAAGTGTTTATTTGGGATCAAAGAATTGCAATTCAGGGGGCACAGATTCGGGTAGAAGCCCAAATAGTGTCCCACTAGGGAGTAAAAGTCAGGGGCTTTTAAAGGCAAAGAAGGCAGGTTTCGCTCCAAATCATTTTAATTGGAGTTGGAGGTGGAAGCTAGTCATAGCCAAACATTGGTTGACTGCTGATTCTCTCTTCAGAAAGTCCACAATCCTCAGTCTTCATAATCAGGATGTCCGTTTTCCTGTTGAGCAATGATTTGTAAAACAATTGCTGTTTTGGCCCAGTCCAAAGGTTTGGCCCAGTCCAAGGTTCAAGACGATGAGGCAGTTTCTGTGGAAAGCCAGCTCGACCCTATTTGATTTCATTTTTTTATTTTTGGGTTTTTTTTTTGAGGAAGATTAGCCCTGAGCTAAAGTCTGCTGCCCATCCCCCTCTTTTTGCTGAGGAAGACTGGCCCTGAGCTAACATCCATGCCCATCTTCTCTACTTTAGCATAGTTTGCCAAGCAGTGTGTAGGTCCCCACCCTGGATCCGAACTGGCGAACCCTGAGCCACTGAAGCAGAATGTACAAACTTAACTGCTGTACCACCGGGCCAGCCCCTAGACCTTATTTTTTTTTTTTAATTTTTATTGAGTTAATGATAGGTTACAATCTTGTGAAATTTCAGTTGTACATTATTGTCTGTCAGTCGTGTTGTAGTTACACCCCTTCACCCTTTGTGCCCATCCCCCACCCCACCTTTCCCCCAGTAGCCACTAATCTGTTCTCTTGGTCTGCGTTGTAAATTCCTCATATGAGTGGAGCCTAGACCCTATTTTTAAGTGGCTCCACTAAGGTCAATTTTGACAAAGGCAAATCCCTTACCATTTTGTCTAGTCTGTGTTTTCTGTTTCGTGCCGCCTGAGAGAGCCGAGGGTCCCCAGTGTGAAGACTTGCAGGAGGGAGCTTCTTTATAACTGTGACCTGTGGCATACTTTCCCTGATGATTTTTAATGTGACATCTAGCTGCTGTATTTTTTTCTTTGTTGATAGCCCATTTTTATCTTTTGAGGAAGTGCTGAACAGTAACAGTGGAAATCTGCTTTCCCAGGGCCTGAGTGAAAGTGGGTTCAGTTAGAGATTAACTAGAGCAATTTGAGGTCCTGGTAGCAGTCCCT